AGTCTTGCCGCTGCTGTACAATTTTCATTATAATTTATAACAGATGTCATTTATAACAGTATATGTAGGTTTGCAGTAAGATGTCCCTATAGAACACAGCACTGTCAAATGTATTCATCACTCAGCTGGCTCTCTCCTACATCCAGAACACAGCTACACTTTTTGCAATTTGTTTAAATATTATTACTCAAAGTTCCCACCCTACTTAAGAGTTTTTGATTACATTTAGATCAGCAAATCATTTACGCTTCAAATGAACGGAACAACTTCCCCTCCTCAATCTGATCAGTTACATCAGTCCTCCAGTTTAAGGCATCAGTCTTCAGATACTGACAAACATCCTGCTCCTGTTTTAGATAAATATATATATATTTTGTTCTATGTACTTTCTGTTGTACATAGAGTTTCCTTCACTAATTTACAAATATAGGTGTGGTGATGATCAAATCAGACCGATGTATGTAGATCTTAGGATCCTGGATTGTATAGTATGAATGCTGTCTGTGTGTTGTGTGCATGTTGTCTTGTTTTGGTTTGTTTTTTTCTGTAAATGCTGCTTTTGTTAATGTATTAGGACACCCTTGCAAAAGAGATGCTACATCTCAAAGGGCTTCCCTTATAAATAAAATATATTTTAGTTGGGCCCATATTACGCTATTTTCAGATTTATGTTTTAATCTTGTTGTTGTAAGATTTGCAATGAAATAATCCAAATGATTCTAGTGAAGGTGTATGGAGTTTAAAATCAGAGTGGAGCACTTCCTGTTTGCATGACATCACAAGGTGGGACAGAGTTTTCAGTTTGAGAGAACTCAGCCTAAATCTGCAGGACTTGTGTGTCAAACATGTGTGAATGAAAGAAAACAACTCCAGGTGTGTTTGTGATGAAGAAACAACATCAGAACACAGATCAGAAAATAGTGAAATATGAGTGTGAAAGAATTTCTGTGTTATTTTAAATATTATGAAAATCATAATCATTTGTGTGTGTGATTAGAGTTATCAACAATTGCGTTTTGGGGTTTTTCCGTTCTGACAAAAAGCAACATTGGCTTTTTGTTTTTGTCTTGTTTTGTTGTGTTCAAGCTGTATCAGGTGATCTTGCTGATGTGTCGCTGACTCATTAAGATAATGTACTGGGAGAAACAACGTAATGGTAAACATCATGAGCTTAACACAATGTACTGTATTGTTATCTGTGAAATGACTTCAATAAAAGCTGCTGTTGGGGAGTAGCTGTCAGAGAAGTAGGGTCAGACGGCGTAGATGACAGCTTTTCTCTCCTTGCACAAGTAAATTACCGTCTCGTTTTGGTGTGTCTTTATTTAATGTAATTAGATGATAATTTGATTTTAGGGTATAATTCCCTGACAACGAGTAACATTGCTATTTAAACATGTGAGTTCTCAGTTCTTTATCAGAACTTGTGGCCCACCTTAAAGCCTGAGTTGGAATCCTCATCAGTAAATAAAACACCAGGGTTAATGTTCAGCTGTATATCAATACGCCTACACTTACAAAATCTGGAATTTTCAACAGTTACCATGTTGACACAGTTATAATGTCAACATGTCAAATGAGCTGTCAAACAAACCAGCTCACCTGTTGTAGTTCCAGCTAAGTCAGTTCTGTTCAGATTGTGCTACAATAAAGAACTCTAAATAGCAAAATGTAACACTTTGTCAGTTGCCTCCAATTATCTGCACTTTTCACCCTGAGTGTCCCACTTCGGCTGCAGTAAGTGTGGAGCAAGGCTGTAAATGAAGATAGCCCGCAGAATACATAAAATAAAAATGTGCAAAATTAGTGGTTTATTCGGAGTAAAGCTTGAGGCCGTGCTAAATGTAAACAGTGAAAGAAGCAGCAAGTCAAAGCAAAAAAGCAGAGGGCTTTGCATGTTTCACCACAAATCCAGACACTTTAGGCAATTGCAGACAATATATCTCGTCTTAAAGTGTTATGCCATTTTTGTTTTCTTTTTTTTATTTTGCTTTGAATGTATTAATTGAAAAAAAGAAAACTTATAACATTAGAATAGATTTTGACTTGTCTTCTGTGTTATTAATAGGGATGTACTGATTTGATACTGGTAACTGTATCGGCTGCAGATACATTTTTAGTGTAACGGATTTGATGAAAAGATCAAGCGAATACAGCGATACAGCGTTAACAGCACAGAGCTGACACAGAGCTGCTTAAAGACAGATCAAGGAGGCTCTAAAGCCACAAAAACATGGTTAATGACAGATATTAAGAAGATCCAAATCAGGATTAAATCTAAATCTGGGATTGCAAATATTTAATCAGTATTAGATCGGGAGCCAAAAACCTGGATTGGGACATCTGTAGCAAACTAATTATAAAAGACTACTCAAACATGTTTGAATGAAATGTTTTTGAGGTGGTAACAACATTATAACTTGTCTTCTATATTACTACCGTATTTTCCGGGCTATTAGGCGCGGTCTTAGGCCTCCAAAAACGACTGCGTGCCTTATAATCCGGAGCGCCTTTTATATGAATTTACGCGAGTGTTCCAGTACAACTTCAGTAAATGACACCACTTGCAGCATTACGGCTACCATAGTCAGGAGCATCGTGGTGTAATACGTACTGTGATTCCTCATTTTTCCTGTGGACGAGGAAAAGATGAGCGACTGGCTGCGAGAAGTTTACCTTAAGAGACCGGATGGCTTTTTCCACTCATCTCCGTCCCTATTGATCTGCGACTCCAGCGCAGTAACAGATTGTTGTCCAGACGCAGCCGCGATTCATTTTCGAATTATTTTACCAACCCTGGCCAATACAGAGAATGTAACACACGAAGATCAGAGCAAGTACCAGTGTGCGAACATGTGGCTCCAGAGTGAGTCAAAATTGGGGGTGTGTACGTCTGTTCACGACCTGCACACACAGAGACGACCCGGTGTTCCCCGTGATCATGTAGCAACCAGCATTTGTTATTTTAGGCTTTAATTAATCAAATAACTTTATGGCAATAGCCTATTCAATTGATACAACTTCAAAAAGTCCCTGCTTTTAGCCTAGTGTGAGAAATACAGTCGGACTAGATCCAAACCAGAGTCCTGAACCAGCGGGAGCAGCTCCGGTTCAGTCCGGGCTCAGAGGAGCTGGAGCGGGGAGCCTCGACCTGAGGAAGTGCTTTCCCCGGGAAGAACCAAATGCTCGGAGGACGGACACTCAACAACATAGAACAAACCAAACTGGACTCACGCTTCTGTCTGGATGCTGCATTACCTCGGAACCAGCCGCGGTTCTTGAGCGCGGAGGACAGGAGCAGTATAGACCTGTAGGTAGTCCACAGCACATTCTCACTTTTCCCGCACGGAAACAGCGCGCAGACGATGGAACGTACCCGCTCGGACTCAGTCCATCAAGCACTGGTCTTGCTCGCCACCGTTTGGAACCAGCACATGGAGGATGGAGCCTCCGGACCATCTGACCAACGCACTTGTAGGACGACAGAAGACCAAGGACCAGACCCCAGCCTCGTCCTGAGGAGCTGCGCGCTACTGTGAGCGCTGTTGGCTGCTGCTGTTACCCGAACTCTGGGCTGATGCGGTGAGTTTGTACAAAGTTCTACATGTTGCTGTTTTATGAGTTCATGATGATAATTTGAGATGAGGACGGCCCGTGGTATTAACAGGAACATCGGTGTTGATAACTGGAGTATCGCTGTTTTCCCGGGAAACAGAGACACGTGAATCGAACCAGTTTTGGTTCGTTTGCCGGTGAGAACGCGGACCACACTGGAGTGGATTTGCTACATGATAACAATTTTATTGCCTGGTGCGGACCAAATAATCGAACTAGCGGTGTGAAAACGACCTAATGTGTTATTTTTAGTTATAACTGAACAATTATGAGTTATTGTGAATACGCTGACAATTATCGGTCTCAGACAGTTTTTTGTTTTTTATGTGTTACAAATGAACAAAGTTGAGAGTTAACGTAAGGAGTAAACGCGTTAAATAAAGTTTGACTGATTTACCTAACTGTTGTGTTTCGTTTAACGCACCTTATAGTCCGGTGCGGTTTATATGCGAAAAAAGTTCGGGAAAACAACAGTGCGTCTTATAACCTGGAGCGCCTAATCGTCCGTAAAATACGGTAGTCTTTTTTGTGTAATATAGAGCTCCTGCAGTCTGCAGTCCCAGCATGCACCTCTAAATCCCACACTGACAGTAGTTGTGGCTGAGAACTACCACAGAACGGCAGCTGGTGGGATAAAAAAAAAAATTTTTGGGGGGGGGGCGCATAGGCCAAAATTATAAATATACAGTCGTGGATAAAATTGTTGGTACCCCTCTGGTAATGAAAGAAAAATCAACAATTTTTACTGAAATAACTTGAAACTAAGAAAAACAAAAATGTCCACACTGTTTTTGAATTGTTGTTCAAAAGGATTATTTAAAAAAACAAACTAATGAAACTGACCTGAACAAAAATGATGCCTCTAGAAAAGATTGTAAGTAACTGAACAATAGGGACATGTTAAACTTCAGTGTGTCTCTAATCTGCATCACAGGTTCTTCTAACTTGTCCTCAGTCAGTGTGTCTGTTTAAAGGGCGACATGTTTCATTGTGCTGTTTGGAGACATGATGGAGACAATACTGAACATGGACCAGAGAAAGTGAAGAAGAGAACTGTGTCAGGAGACTAGAAAGAAAATGATAGACAAGCAGAACAAAGATAAAGGTCATAAGACCATCTCCAAGCAGCTTGATGTTCCTGTGTTTACAGTTACACGTGTTCTTTAGAATGTAGCAGAGTGGCATATTTGTAAGTGTACTTCAAGGTATCAAAGTTGCCAACAACACCACCTGGTAATACCAGGACAGTGTTTTTTTTTTCCCACCCACTATAGACACACAGGTTCGTTGACTGAATATGGCATGAGACTTGAATATGCTTTACATTGAATTTATTATCCATTTTTGCGAAGGGTTAATCACATATATCCTCCACCAGTCCTGTACGTTCATTGTCCTTTGGGTAACCTGGCCTCGTTGCTTGGAATGACCTTAGGACCATTATCACAGTCAATATCGTGCCTCGCAGTAGCGCTTCCCACAAGACGAAGACTTCAGAGAGCGAGGGCCACGACCACCGAACAGACCAGGTACACAGAGAAAGAAAAAGAGAAAAGGAGAGGCTTCCCGCCAGCAGGAGCCTAAATATAACATGTTACATTTAACATACAATACACACAACAAAGAGGAACACAAGATAAACCATAGCAACATACCGTGTAGAATTCACCGCAGCACTCCACCCAAACATGCAGAGGACCGCCCAGCGCCGAGCCACAAACTCTAAAAAAACACAACCCGCGTTAACCTCACGCAGGCGTTACTGAGCCAGCAATATGGAGTAAGAAAGCTGTCAAAATATTCGTGCGCATAAAATAGAAATCCGTGCGTATTTGTGAAATCCGTGCATATTTGGCTGTAGTTGCGCATAAAATAAATATTTGTAAACTCTCAAATGAGTCCAGTCGTACATAAAATATATTGTGTGTATTTTATCCATCAGAATACGAATTGAAAAATTACGACGTCATGAATTACAATCACGAAATGAAAATTTACGATTACACTTTCATCAGTACGAATACGAATTCACAGACGCAACTTTACTGTCAAAAATACGTCATCACTTCAGACATTATTCATCGAGCAGAAGAAACATCGATCAAGATCAAGACTGCGCAGCTCAAGTTTGTAGCAGAGGGTAAAAACAGAGTAAAAGCACAAGAAGCTACAACAGCGACCAAGAAGTGGGTTCATTAAAATCTATTGTAAAAATGTCTTGAATTCGGGAACCGAACGCTGCTGTATAATATTGTGTAGAAACACCTCCTTTGAACAGGAAATTGCACCTATATGTTAGAAAACATAGTGGAGCCAGTTGGCAACATCCGACGTAACGTTATCCCAGGGCTAATTAGCAAATATCAGGTTCTCTGTATGTTTAGATTAAAACATTCACGGCTACAGCCACAGCGAGCATCAGTCAGTCTTCACTTCAGCTGCATTTCAGTCAATGGGTTATACATGAGTTATAATGGGTTATAAAAAGGAGGTGTTTCTACACAATATTATACAGCAGCGTTTGGTTCCTGAATTCAAGACATTTTTACAATAGATTTTAATGAACCCACTTGTTGGTCGCTGTTGTAGCTTCTTGTGCTTTTACTCTGTTTTTACTCTGCTACAAACTTGAGCTGTGCAGTCTTGATCTTGATCGATGTTTCTTCTGCTCGATGAATAATGTCTGAAGTGATGACGTATTTTTGACAGTAAAGTTGCGTCTGTGAATTCGTATTCGTACTGATGAAAGCGTAATCGTAAATTTTCTTTTCGTGATTGTAATTCATGACGTCGTAATTTTTCATTTCGTATTCTGATGGATAAAATACACACAATATATTTTATGTACGACTGGACTCATTTGAGAGTTTACAAATATTTATTTTATGCGCAACTACTGCCAAATATGCACGGATTTCACAAATACGCACGGATTTCTGTTCTATGCACACAAATATTTTTGACAGTTTTCTTACTCCATACAGCAAGACGATTTCTCCACTTACCCCCATGATGCCCGCACACTCCCTGCAATTACTGCGCTGAACACCTCGCAGCAGCATTCTTAGTGCTCCTAAACGTGGTCCACTCGGGGCTTCGCGTCTTGCGGCCATGACAGCTTGGCTCCGCCAGCGTGCGACGTCAGCGGTCGGAGTTCAGGAGGGAGGGGCGAGCGTAGCGCATAGCGCCCCTTTTATAGGCGGGTTTGTGACCCATAAACCCGATACTATCACAAGAAGTTTAAGGTCCACAGGATTGAAGCCAACCTCCCTGGACGCGACTGCAAGAGGAAAATTTATGACAAATTGAAGAGATGGATCATACGAATGGAACCAAAGAGCCCAGAACAACCTCCAAACAAATTAAATGTGACCTTGAAGAGCAAAGTACATCAGTGTCAGATCACACCATCCATCAGTGTTTGAGCCAAAGTGGACTTCATGTGAGGACACCACTGCTGAGAGCAAATCATAAAAAAGTGACACTGGAATTTGTCACAATGCATATGGACAAACCATAAAGTGTCTGGGAGGGTGTCCTTTGGACAGATGAGACAAAACTGAAGCTCTTTGGCAAGACACATCAGCTCTATGTTCACAGACGCAAAAATGAAGCAGATGACGAAAAGAACACTGTCCCTACTGTGAAACACGGAGGAGGCTTGGTTTTGTTCTGGGGCTGTTTTGCTGCATCTGGCTCAGGGTGTCTTGAATCTGTGCAAAATACAACAGAATCTCAAAACTATCAAAGGTTTTTGGACCAAAATGTGTTGCCTAGTGTCAGAAAGCCTGGTCTCGTTCGTAGGTCATGGGTCATCCAACAGGATAATGAACAAAAACACACAAGAATGGCTAAGAACAAAACATTGGACAGTTCTGGAGTGTTCTTCTGTGAGCCCAGATCTTGGTTCTATTGAACATCTGTGAAAGGAGCAGAAACACGCTGTCTGGAGAAGGAACCCTTCAAACCTAAGGTAACTAGAGAAATGGGTCAAAATACCAGTTGATCAGTGCAGAAGTCTCATTGACAGTGACTTAATGGCCTGAGCCTGAGGCTTGTCCTGGGTTCTTGCATGTGCTTCAGTCAATGGGCTTGGCGGTTGCGGCGTATAAATATAAATATATTGGTGTAGACTAGAGCCCTGCAGTCCTGCGGAACTGCAGACCCGCGGAACCCGATGCAAAACAGTGCTGTGCGGGACACATTTTGAAAGCTCATTGCGGGTGCGGGCGGGAGCGAGACTGCACAACACGGGAGCGGACGGGAGGGATGATAAACTGCAGTCCTGCAAACTAAATATGATAATATAAATGTAAGCATATCATGCATAATTTGTGCTGGATATTTGATTTGGGATTAATAAAAACATTTTAAGCAGCAGATGTCCCCCCTCCCGTATGCCGCTCGGAGAATCCACGCTCCCATACACCGCACGGAGAATCCACGATCCCATATGCTGCGCAGAGAGTCCCCCCTCCTGTACGCCGCTGCGCAAAGAGTCCACCCATCTGTACACCGTGCAGGCTACGCCACTAAACCAGAACTAAACCAGGACTAAGCCAGGGCTGAAAACAGGTCTAAAACCAGAATTAAAACAGGATTTAGCCAGGACTTAACCATGCCGCTGTACCGCCCACCGCGCCTCCTCCCATACGCAGCCCAGTTCCTTTCACTTCTCTGTGTTTGATAGCCCTTAAGAAAGCAAAGGTCCCCATCCTGTGGGACTTGTGGGCAGGAGTGGAACAAAATATCACAGATGCAGGCGGGAGCAGGACTGAAAATGACCATTCTTTGCAGGAGTGGGACTCTACAGTACAGGAGCGGGCAGAAGCGGGACTGAAAAATCTGTCCCGCGCAGACCTCTAGTCTAGACTTGGTCCAGTCCTGGTTTAGACCTGACAATCGTCTCTGCGGTTTGCGGTGTGTATATATTTAAAATTCACTAATGACATGGCGTAGGTTTAGTCCTGGTTTAGTACTGGGCGGACGGAATAATGGGCTGACCCTGATGTATCACAGGTAGGGGCAGGTAATGGGTGGAATGTTAACGAGTCCGGGCAGGTGCATATATGATTTTGATATAATCACGGGTTAACGGGCGGGTGTGGTGCTGTAGTACACGCGTGTGGGCGGGTGCGGGTCTCCAAAAATGGTCCCATGCGAGACTCTGCCTCTCATCCTCCTTTTTTTAAATCATCCATGTGGTTTTTCAATTGGTGCACTATCCACTATTAAGACTTTTCCTTATCATTGGAACTACTATAATTGGACTACTACTGTATGTCCTGTCCCTGTCAGATGCCCTCCCACCCATACCTCTGACTCCCACTGAGTCAGATTCATTAAAAAAGACGACTACTTTGGTTCATAGCGGATGTTCACATCAGGAGACAGGATTTCTTTCTTTTCTCTCAATCTTTCCACACCAGACAAACAAAAGAATTGTACTAACTAAAAATAAGTAAAGGTTTAGGGCTGAACGATTTGGGAAAAATACTGAATTGTGATTTTTCTGACAAGTATTATGATTGAGATTCGATTTATATTTTAATAATAGGATTCTGTTCAAAGTTCACATTCTAAACGCATCCAGGGACCTCATTTATAAAGCTCGCTTATGCACAAATCTTTGCATACGCGTTGTCTACGCCAACCACGGGATTTATGAAACTCATCTTAAGTGCAACACTTTGCTTATCTCTATGTCAGCTCAGGACCTCCTATAAGCACGGGGCAAAAGTGACACTCATGGAGAGAAGCAGAACATTCATTAGATCATATCAGTGACGCTGATCAGGACATGTTCAGAATCACTGATATTTCAGACCATGAAGTTGCCAAATTAATTACAGGCTTGAAAAATTCAAAAGCACTTGATGCATTTGGTTTAAACACACATTTTCTGAAAGAACTTAAGGATCCTCTTGTACGACCCATCACCCATCTCCTCAATATGTCTTTCAAATTTTAATTATTATTTTAATTATCAGCCTATAAGCATACTTCCAGTTATGGGTAGTCAAACTCCTTACAGCTCATTTAGAAAACACCCAACCCTCACTACACCTGCTACAGTTTGGCTTCTGAGCTCATCTCTCCACAGACACTGCCCTGTGTGTAGTGTACTCACAGAAAACATAAAGAGCTTGCTTGATAAGAGTCCCTGTGTTGGAGGTGTCTTCTTAGATCTGAAGAAAGCCTTTGACTCTGTAAATCATCAGATTTTGCTGTCCCAGTGACTCAGTTTAATATTTCCAGTCAAGCTCTCCAATGGTTTACATCATATCTGTCACACAGGAAACAGTATGTGGTAGCTGATGGGCAGTGTTGGGGAGTAACAGATTACATGTACCAAAGTTACATAATCAGATTACAAATTATGAGTAACTGTATTCAGTTACAGTTACTGTTTCAGTGAGTGGTAATTGGATTACAGTTACTTGGTTGAAATAAATGGATTACACAAAGGTATTTTCCTGTTTTCACATTTTGGGCTATATCCCCCCCTTTTATTTATTTATTTTGGTAATTCCACTCATTGCGGGACACTAAACCAGGTCTAAACCCAGGTCTAAACTAGGACTAAACTAGGACTAAACCAGGACTAAACCAGGTCTAAACCCAGGTCTAAACTAGGACTAAACCAGGACTAAACCAGGTCTAAAACCAGGTTCAAATCAGGTCTAAACCTGGTCTAAACAGGTCTAAAACCAGGTCTAAACCAGATCTAAACCAGGACTAAACCAGGACTAAACCAATACTAAACCAGGTCTAAACTATGTCTCAAACAGGATTTAACAAGACTAAATCATGCTGCGTGGACCGTGTCTCCTCTTCTATCAATAATATTTTTAATTTGGTTAAGTAAAGTCTGGGCTTTTTATTTTCTTTTATCAGACAAAACATCTTATGTGAAGATTTCCGAGTCTTTGTTTCTCTACAGCAAATCAAGTAATCCAAAGTATTCAGATTACATTACTCACTTTAAGTAATTTAATGGATTACGTTACAAACTACATTTTGAGGTATGTAATCTGTAATCTGTAGGGGAATACATTTTAAAAGTCACCTATACTTATATACATATACAAACATACACACATACACACACATATATGTGTGTGTATGTGTGTATGTTTGTATATGTATATATAAAATATGTGTATGTAAAAACTGAGAAGTCATGGACCAAACTAAATGTTTATTGAAAAATTTCAACGACATCTACATGTTTTCTTTTCTTTTGAGATATGTAATGTTAAACATTTCGTTATTAAAATAAATGTTTAATAAAAACTTTTTTTTTTTTAAACATTGAAAACTATAAAAGAGGTCTAAAAATACTTGATAAAAAACCCATTTCCCACCACCACTGTCACATCCTGAAAAAGCACAGGCTTCTGGATTTTAGCAATATGGTCAAACTCAAAAGGGCTTGTCTAATTTATAAGGTCATACACTCCCTGGCACCACCACGATTAAACAATTACATTAAACGTAAAGATATTTCAGAAAGAATCATGCGAGCCACCACCAGGGGTGACCTGGTCATACCCCACAGACGGACCACCTTTGGTCAGAATGTTTTATCTGTCCAAGGTGGAAATCTGTGGAACAGTCTTCCACTAACCCTGAAAGAATGCCCTATGTACAGCTCTTTTAAAGCTCAAATGAAAAATTGATTATGGTCAAACCAAACATGTACACATGTATAACTGCACTGTGATTTTAATAGATTTTCTATGGACATGAATGGAGTATGTAACTAAGGGAACTGTGCAATGAATGGACTGTGCAATGATGGGAACTGTGTAATAAAGGGAACTCTGTAATGAGTGGAGTGTGCAATATTTTAGTGTCTGGCCCCTGTGACTCCAGCCCTTGGTACAATGGATGAAAATTAGCCTTAGGCTACAGTCCGGTGTGTTTACATTCATGTTGTGTCATGTTTGTCCATTAACATGCTCTGTCCCAATCAAAAAAATAATAAAATAAAATAAAAAATAAATTAGGCTGTAGCAGTAACATGCCGCCAGTGCAGAGTTAGGCCTGGGCGAGAGCGGTCACGCATCACAATAGGTCAATGTTTGTGATCAGGTTTATAAAAAACAATCACTTGATTTCAGGTCGCCCCCACCCTACGTCCCCAAGACGTATTTTAGGGTTGTAATGTAAAATAATAGGCAGAAGCATCGTAATGATGTCATATTTTCTCAAAACTTCAGGCTCTCCCGTAGTCTCCATAAGTCGATCTGACTCAGCGCACTCAAAGTCCAAACACATCAACCAAATAAAGTGATATGAGCACATTTAACATGATAAAAAGCATTAACATGATTGTGGATTATTGTTGTGCACCGGGATGAAGACATTTGCAACGACAGAAAAGGGCTGAGCCTTTTACTACATTGACAAACCTCCAGACTGATGGTAGACATGGATTTCTGCAGCTAACATTTATCAAAGTCGACATTAGTTAAATCAATGATGTTTGTGTTTATTACTGACATAAGAGATTCAGCTGCTATGTAGCTACAACATCTGTACATTAGTCAGAGCACATTCTTCTTTCACTATTTATCAATTTCACATCATTTAAACTGTCCGTATCAGTAAACGTTATATAATATCATTTATAATAAAGTCTATTTTTCACAAAAATCTCTTTTGTTTGATGATATGAGAAGGTGAAAAGTAAACCAGATGTCCAGATATTTCAGAATTAAGGTGAAATCTACACGATCTATTCTCTTTAAAATCACACGTGTGCCAGTAAGGATCACTCATGTTTAATCTGATGGCTGAGATTTGACTGTAAAACCATAATCAGCACAGAGAGACATTGTGAAATTATTATTCCACCCAATTCACAAACAAGTTAAACCTTTATTTAACCAGTTCTATTTTATTTGGTGTCGTACAATGTTGGAAAAATGTAAACATGAGGACTAAGAATTATATTGTGTGACAAGCGGCCATCCAGTGTGAATTCGGATCCACTCGTAGAAATGAGCCACCTGGAAACAAGAACAAAAACACAGCAATTTATGTTAATGACTAGAACCAAGAACTCACTATTGATACTTTGAATGACATCACACTGGGGGTGTTCTACATGTGTCTCCAGGGTGGAGTCTTTCGAAATTACCATGGTGGCACTATGCACACAAAAAGCAAAATAAGCAAACACAGCTCAAAAACATTTTAAGATAGTCTGAAAACTGAAAAAAAAAATATATATATACAAAATGGATTTAAACAGCACACCTTCAGGAGATCATGACAACTACTGTTTAGGTGTTTAATTTTCAACAAAAAACAGTGTGTGATTAACTCTATTCCCACATTTACCCCCTGCCCCACGGTGTCAACCCCCGTGTGCTGTGGACATGTGCTGCACAGCTCAGTGGGATCCTGCACTTTCTCTTCACACTGAGTCTGAAGCTTGAAAGGATACCAGTGCTATGGAAGACCTCCTGCATTGTGCCAGTGCCTAAGAAGCCTATTCCATCTGGACTTAATGACTTCAGACCAGCTGCTTTGACGTCTCATGTCATGAAAGTGTTTGAGAGACTTGTTCTGGCTCAGCTCAGACCCCTGGTGACTCCTTCCCTGGATCCTCTACAGTTTGTATATTAGTCTCATGTTAGTGTGGATGATGCTGTCATTTGTCTTCTGCAGAGGGCTCACTCACACCTGGATAGTGTGAAAAGCTTTGTGAGGATATTGTTTTTCATTTTCTCTAATGCCTTTAACACATTCCAGCCCTTTCTGATGAGTGAGAAGCTGCTCAGGATGGGTGTCAGCCCCTCCATTGTTTCCTGGATTACTGAATACCTGTCAGGCAGGCCTCAGTACGTGCAACAGGGAGCATCCTGTCTGTTACTGTGGTCAGTAATGTAGGAAGGCTCCAGGGTACAGTCCTGTCTCTGTTTCTGTTCACTCTGTACACCTCTGATTTCCAGTATAGCTGGGAGTCCTGCCACCTGCAGAAGTTCTCTGATGACTCTGCAGTGTTTGGGTGTATCAGAGATGGACAGGAGCTGGAGGACAGGACACTGATTGAAAACTTCGGGGAGTGGTCCCAGGCAAACTATCTGCTCCTGAACGTTGACAAGACCAAGGAACTGGTGATTGACTTCAGAAGAAAAGGATACAAGTGGAGCCCGTCACCATCCAGGGCCATGAGGTTGAAATAGTTGACTGCTACAAGTATCCTGGCATCTACTGTATGTGAACAACAGACTGGACTGGAGAGACAAGTGTAATGCTGTGTACAAAAAGGGCATGAGTAGACTCTACTTCCTGAGAAAGCTCAACAAGTTACTGGAGATCTTCTACCAGTCTGTGGTGGCCAGCACCCTGTACTTCACTGTCGTCTGCTGGGGAAGCAGCACCAGAAAAAGGGACATTGACAAACTGATCCGTAAAGCTGCTCACATGATCGACTCTGAACTGGAGACATTTGTCACAGTGAGGGACACAAGGACATTGGACAAACTGCTCCTAAGGACACTCCTGCTCTCTGCATCAGACTACAGAGGGACAGATAATACTCCCTACAACTGTACAACAACTCACCCTTATGTAACAGATAAGCCTATGTCCTGTCAATCATCATATGATCTTTGCATTGTTTTACAACCTCTTGTATACTGTTACGGCTTGCGGTCCAGCCCCCAATCCCCGTTTGTTTTATCGCTTGTGTCTTCCGTATTTGCATGTCCTGTGTGGTACCTGGCGCCTGATTGTTGGGGTGTGGTCCCATCGCTGTTGGGCTGGGTCCGATGTTCGTCGTGCCTGGTTGAAGGATTGACGTTCCTCCAGTCCCCTTCCTATACATCACATCACTGCATCCAATAAAAGTGCTGTGCACCTGTTCCTCCTGGAGGCTGAATCTCAGTTTCAGTTCGCCACACTGAGTGATTGACATATCCGTTGTTGTCCGCTGTTTGCAAAGTTGAACTGCGTATTGTGACTCTAGAGGTCGTTATTGACCTATTATTTGTTTGTTTGCTGGTTTGGCTCGGCCATTGAGCATTTGTATTTTCTTTCATTTATACTTAACCCATTAGAGGTATTATTTAGTTGTATTTGTAATTTTGATTTATCTTATGTAAAACATCTTGTTTATGTTATTATACTTACTTACGTTTACTTTATAAAAGCCATTTATATATACATCACATGTTGTTTGTGTTACTTTCTTTTTTGCCTAGCACTGGTTTGTAACATATACTGAGATATTTTTATGGCAAATCCATGGTTTTATCACATGTCCAGTGTCGGTAACTACAATGGAAGTCGACATCTGCATGTCTCCAAATGTCTTCTGGTAAGCGTGAATAGAGCCTGTTTGAAATGTAGTTGTGAACGGAGTTTAGGTGTTTTGTCCTACTTGAAATATTATTGGCCAGAGTGTTGTAATGTCATCTGAAACTCAGCAATATTAGGCCCAAAAGGAAATGGAATTGATGCTTAAACAATCCCAGGCAAAACCTTTGACTGCCAATTGCTCTCTACCCTGGATTGCTCCATCCTGTTACCTGTGTGTAGACTCCAGGGGAGTTTGAGTTTCCGCAGTTGCCTTTACCCCAGCTCACGATGCCCCACAGGTAGGACACACCCAGCTCGTCTTCACACACCAGGGGTCCCCCACCGTCCCCAGCGCATGCGTCCACAGAGCCATCCAGATTACCTGTGACAACAAGGTCCAATATTACACAAAAGGGACTCTTGTGAGCTTTAAAGGGCCCATATTATGCTATTTTCTGCTCTCTGTTATGTTATCCATGTTTCCACATCAAAAACGTTCCTGGAGGTGTGTCTTGTTTCATTCGCACATGTTTAACCCAAAAACCCTGCATATTTAAGCCGAGTTCTTCTCTCAAACAGAAAACACTCTGTTCCACCTTGTGATGTCATATGGTAATAAGAAAGTGCACCACTGTGTTCTTAAACACCATGAACTGGAGTTTAAAAACATTTGGATAATTTCAGCCCTGGAATTGTCAATCTGAGCTAAAGATAAAAGGAGGTGTTAACTTGAAAACTACCATTTGATGACATCACAAGGTGGAACAGAGCATTTTTGCTTTGGAGATGTAGACAGGCTAATAATAAAGGGTTACTCAGACACGTGTGAATCAAACAAAACACAACTCCAGGTCTGTTTCTGATGATGGCTTAAAGCTCACAAGAGTCAATTTAGTGTAAGCCTTAAACTTTAACAGTGATGCTCATAATTCACAAGAGCCACACTGGAAGAGCAACATCAAGAGGAGAACCACATATACCCAACATACGCCAACATACCAAGTCACCTTTTTTATATTAATAAAAGATTTATACAAAAAGTATACATTTAATTATAAAATGTAATATAATTATAAAGTTATAAAACTGTTATAAAAAAACATAATTTTTGTATTAAATTGATCATAATTATTATTACTATTACTAATCTGCATAAATAAACTCAATTTTACAACATATAAACCATAAGCAATATAGAGCCACCTCAGCCCGTTTGAGATTATAATAATGTGTTTAATGCAGCTTTGACACATTTGTTTATGTCTTAAAACTTAAAACTGCATGGCTCATTTGCATAAAGTGTAATGACGTGATGAGTGATGACGGTGAATTTGACTTGTGCGTATATCACGTTGGAGATGGTTCATGTTTTCAAAGATCAGACGTGTGCAGGTTTAGCGCAGCTCTTCATTTAACATCATTTCACTTCATTTATGTTGGTCACTTCATTTCGATGATGTTAATCAAGAGCATGGACTACCTTTTAAAATGCGGGTCAGGCAGCAGGTCAGGTAGATTATTTTCAAATATTTTTTTGCGGTCGGAGTTGCGGGTGGGTTAGTTGAAATCGTTGGTCGGGTACAGGTCATTTATACATGGACCTGCGCATCACTGTTTGCTGGTGTCACGGCGTCCCCATTAGGAAACACCATAATTAAGCCTTGATTTATACTTACACTACGTGTAATGCTTGGGTTGCAATGATCATTATATGTTTATCTAGCACATTTGAAAAAATATATTGGCTCTGTTACTATTTTTCGTATAAGCTTGCGAGCCACTAATTAAAGACTGGTGAGCTGCATGTGGTTCATGAGTCTTGCAATGAGTATTCCTGCTGTAGAGTATAAGAACAACTGACTGATGAACATGGACTGTATAAATGAACATACAGTAGCTGGTGAGCATGCACGCTCTTATGGCTCCATCGACAGCGGCTCCAATTCACTTTTTATTGTAAAATCATCACTCCTTTCTCTGTAACTGCTGCTGTTAGTCATTAAAATGTTCATAATAACTCGCTCTACATGAGGTTTTTATTTAGTTATTTTGTCAATAAATCAAGATTTGAACATTAAGACCAATCCTGCTCTTCCTTTTCTTGAAGTCTCTCTGGCTAGTGGTGGTGGTGCAGATGGGAAGGAGCGTTACTTTCAGTAGCCTCGAATTGGCTTTTTGGTTGCTTGCTTTGGTTGGTCAGATTTCCAATACATTCAAAATGGAAATTCTATTGAATTATTTCTCAGTAATGGTCTCACCTGCACATATCATTCCTGCTTTGATGGTGTTTTCATAATACCGCTCACATTCAGGAATCAAGGAGACTTTCGCCCATAGCAGGACTGTAGACGGTCTACCCCCTGGAAAAATACAGATATTTAGATATACATGTATACAAATTCTCCATAGAGTTACAAATCAGATCTGTGAAGAGGCGACTGTGCTCACCATAAGAATACATGTGTTTCAATATATTTTATAGCAGAAAACACTGAAATAAAAGTTTGACGTTTAACATTTTACCCTAATGTAGAACATTCCAGACAATGCAATGACATCTCTGTGGAGGAAAAAAAAGGCCAGAAAAGTTACACACTGCAGCTTTAGAGGGGCACTATGAGACTTTTAAATTGACTTGACATTAGAGTTGGGCAATATGATGATAAAATCATATACCAGAGTATTGAAAAAGCATAACTGTGTTGCCTCCATGCAGTCTGTAAAAAAAATCCACACTGGAATATGGAAAGATTATATTTAAAACAGCAGTCAATAATTTACTCCATTAAATACATATTCTCAGCCATTTCACAGATATTAAACCTTTATTTTGCTGTTAAAATAGTTTTCTTTTATTTTGAAAAAAACATCTGGTCTACAAAATCTGAAAACCTAAGCGCTGCTGCAGAAAAGTTACAGAGCGCACCTGAGCTCATAACGCCGGCTCGCAGCTCCTTCTGCCTGTTAAAACAATTGGGACACAAACTGTCTACAAGAAAGAAAATAATCACTTTTTAACACAGGGATTTGGAGCAATGTAGAGGAGGTATGGAGCAATGTGGACCGCGTGGAGCTGGATTCCTCGCCTCCAGACTAGATTACTGCAATAGCATTCTCTTTATCTTTACATCTTTACTGTACTGCCGTATTTGTTTATCACTCTAGTGACTGTTTTAATCTGTCTTCTGTCAAGCATCTTTTAGTAGGTGAGTGAACCAACTTTATAAACTGCCCAAATACCCAGAGAAATGCGAAAACCAACTTCATAAACTGCCTAAATACATCGAGAAGTGAAGAGCAGGCCATTGAGAAAGTATTACCACAGTTTCTCTGTGATCATGCAGTCAGAGCCCAGCCACAGCCCCACGCTGTATTTAATTTAATGAATAGCCTACATGTGTATTCTGTAACAATAGAGGCTGATAGTTGAAAATGCGATGCTTTCCCCCTCAAGTCCTAATTCGGATTCTGTTTAAATCCGTGTGTAATTCGCTCTTTTGTTTAGCTTTTAAAGTAGGAGCATCAGGTTCATTAGTTGCACAGATGAAAATCATTGGAATTTTTACAGTAGATGCATTTTTTTTTTTTGTGACTGAAAAACGTGTCTTCGTCCTGTGCATCTGGCACAAAATAAAGCAGATAGGATATTTAATGTCTTGAATGAGTGAAGTTAAACAGTGTTGTCTCCTTGTGTGTTGATAATCCAGTTGTGCTGAAAAACTGAAGTACAGTGTTAGTTTAGCTGTCTGTGCATGTGCATTGTCCGTGTGACCACAATGCACGCACGAGTTTCATGTGTCCGGCAAAAGTGGAAAGAAACAGTTGCTTCTTGCATATTTGTGCATTATGTTTAATAGTCAAACCTCCTACGTTATTTACTGTCACGATTTCACACGTTTACTCCTAATTTGGAGTTTGAAATGATAAAAAAGAAAAAAAATGCAGAGTGAGGTGTCAATAGGCAGGAGCAGACAGGTGCATGCGTTGGCCAATTAATGCAGTTAATGATGTAATTTGCATTTAAAGCTAAATTCACACTGTTCCTTTAATAAATGAGCATTATTTGATCTATTATACACACTGCGTATGTGCAATTTAAGGAAAAATCTAAATTTAAAGCAGATTTTCCTTAATTAGATGAACAGGTGATAATACATCTATTGCGGTGTGACGACATAAAAAAATGCAAACGTCCCAACTCTAGGTGACACTATGTGCTGCACTGAACCTCATCATTTTGGTCTCAAAATGTCTGTATTAACCTGCTCTTCTCATGGAGAAAACACTGGAACTGGTAAGAGGACTAAATCTGCTGACCACCAAATGCCAACTAAAAAAACAAACTAAAAACCTCAAGTCCCTTATATCTCCCTCTGTCGTCGTGTGTGTGGTACCTGTGGTGCGGCCCCAGCCTGAGATGGTGCAGGTGTGGTTGGGCTGGAACAGGTGAGGGGTCCAGGGCACACACACGGGGCGCACCACTGGGTTATCACTGAAACACTTCTCTTGAAACGGGAGCTTCCTCAACTCCACCAGAGCGATGTCGTTCTCGTCGGTGACATTGTTGTATCTAAAGAAGGCGCAAATACAAGAAGAAGAGTTTAAAAGTCAGATTACACAAAATTGATTTTTGTGCTTTTAGCCATGTTACAATGCTGTTACCTCCTCAAAAACACACCTGGAGTTGTGTTTTGTTTCATTCACACATATTTGAGTAATCTTGCATTATTAGCCTGTCCATGTACATCTCCAAAGCTCAAAATGCTCTGTTCCATCTTGTGATGTCATGTAGTGGTAGTTTGAAGTGAACAGCTCCTTTTACCTTTAGTTGAGTAGAGATTGGTAATACCAGGGCTCAAATTATCAAAATGACTCTAGTGAAAGTGTATGGAGGTTAAAACACAGTAAAGCATCTCTTGCATTACCACATGACATCATTAGGTGGAACAGAGTATTTTAAGTTTTAGAGAAGAACACAGCCTTAATATGCAGGATTTGTGCGTTAAACATGTGTGAATGAAACAAAACACAACTCCAGGTCTGTTTGTGATGAGGAAGCAACATGACAGATCAGAAAACTGCGTAATATGTGCCCTTTAGACTGCATATTATAACTTACCTAGTTTTGTCTAGTTTATCATTTTACTTCCTGGTTGGACACAGGCAGCAGATATGCTGTTACCTAGAAACCATAATGTTAACTAAAATGGCAAACAAATTTGCATAAGTTGTCGGAGTCCCTGCATCTGATTGGTCGGTTGTGACTCTGACTTTACTTCTGTTCCATGCTGCTGTGGTTGGTGGATTGGATTGGCTCATCCAATCTCCTGCCTGAACCTGCCAGAGCTTCACCCAATAACAGTCCTGCGGCCTGCTTGTCCACTTACCACGTTCAGTACTAGACATGTCTTTTGTTTGTCTTCTGTTGAATGTAATTGTGTAATGTGTGTGTGGGCTTCCTGAAGACCTCTACCTGGAGTCACTGGTCCTCTCCTATAGTTACTGCACAAAGAAAGCCAATGTGTTCTTCTTGGCTTCTTCATGAGTGAATTTGATGTTCAGATCTGCAGCATTAATATGTGCAGTAAAAGGTTCAAAATCTTAAATTTTAGGAAAAAAATTATTATTTTTTTTGTCAAAGTAGCAATACCAATGTGTGGGTGGCGTACCTGGAAACGAAACCAATGCACTCTGTTCAAACTGTTCCATATATGTAAGTTTGCAGTGATAGGAGAGACCGGTGAGCCCATGGCATAGCCGTGGATTTGCCTGTAGAAGTTCCCTCTGAATTGAAAATAAGTATTTAAACAAATATCCAGCAGTTGGCAGATTTGGTCCAGTGAGAGTTTACTTCTCTCTTCTAGCAAATGATGTAGGGATACAGATCAGAAAATAGGGTAATATAGGCCGTTTACGGTAGTGCATCAGGAGTAAAAGACAAAAAAAGCATGATAATTGAATGTATTTACTGTGGGTGGATGTGGATGTTTTGCACTGGGACAATTTCAGTTGTAGTTTGAGCTCTATTCCTCTTCCACAAAGACAACTTCACCATAAAACCAGAGGGGTCTGACCTGTAAGGAATACATTAAAAAGTTATAATTGTAAATAAATAAAACACTAAATGTTGTAAATTCACAGTGGGTAAGTACCAGACTGTATATTTAAATGGACATAACTATCCAGCTAGCCACAGCGTTCCAAAATGGAAGTGAACATGGAGGAGCATACAGCTCTATCGATTCTGGCTCCATTTCATTTTCCTTGGATTTTAATTTGCTCTTTTTTCCGTAAATCAATTTCTATCCCTAATATGAAACTCTGCTCCAAATTGTGCCATATCTCCCAACCTCAGTGAGCTTCATTTGACTGAAACCGCTATAGGTGACTTCACAGTTCCTTAGTCCACTTCTTTATACAGTCTATGTACATACAGTCAGTCAGTTCATGTTTATACCTGACACAGCTAGCAGCTGTGAGGACCCAGCAGCCTCCGATGTACGCTCCTCCACAGCGAATCATCCCAGAGTCTACTACCGCCACCTGCCACTGGATCTGGTGCTGCATGACACGGTTAAAGCGATATGAAGTGTTGTACATCATTGTTTTATTTTCATGTCCATGAGTTTGTTTTATTTTAGTATTCAGATTTATCTATAACTCACAAATATTGCTTTGGATTAACATAAAACAACTGAAAAAAGATATTTTGAATAAGATGGAAAAATCAAGCCATAATATATATAAATATTACCATATGCACAAAAGTATATGGAGCCTAATATATTATATTGTATCACTTGGGGGTTTTGAATTGCTTTATGTATGCAAACTATTTAAATAATTCCAAGCACACACTTTACAGGTCAATCTCAGTTCCTTCTCTCACCTATGGTCATGGGCTTTAAGTAATGACCAAAGACAAGATGGTGGATGCAAACGGTCAAAATTACTTTCAGCTGGGCGCTCCCTTAGAGATGGGGGAGGAGCTCGGAGTAGAGCCGATGCTCTTACACATGGAGAGTAGCAGCTGAGGAGAGCGCATCCTCCTGGACACCTCTCAGAGGAGGAACTCTGCCCTATTGGGAGGAGGCACATTGAAGACCCAAGACACACTGGAGGGACTATGACCGTGTCTCATTTCTCTTTCCTCCCTTCCTTCTCCTTGATTCCTCTCGATTCTGCAGGAAACGGGTGAGGGAGTGCTGCCCACAGAGGAGACACATGGAAGAGAGAGGATATAAACTCCTCACTGAGTTTAATAAAGTTTGATTCTTTTCTCTGATGTCTGCCTCCTGAAGCCTCCCTCATGCTTTGCTCCCTCCAGTCTGTGGTTTTCTTTGGGACACCACTTAATGACACATTTGATCGACAGCTGAAAAATGAAGCTGAAGATCGAAGAAAGGAATCAAGGAGAAGGAAGCGAGGAAAGAGAAATTAGACGTGGCTTTAATCTCTTTAACATTTTAGTTATTTAAGCATATTCAGTGTTGGGGAGTAACGGATTACATGTACCGCCGTTACGTAATCAGAGTACAAATTATGAGTAACTGTATTCCGTTACAGTTACTGCTTCAATGAGTGGTAATTGGATTACAGTTACTTTGCTGAAATAAGTGGATTACAAGGCGGTATTTTCCTGTTTTCACATTTTGTGCTACATCCCATTTATTTATTTCGGTAATTCCACTCATTGCCGGAAACCCAAACACAACCACACACAACCACACACAACCACACACAAACACACACAAACACACACAAACACACACAAACACACACAAACACATACAAACACAAACACACACAAACACATACAAACACACAGAAACACACACCTTCATCATCGTCATCAACCTGAGAACCCGCGGACCACGTCTCCTTCTGTAGTTACTGCGCGGACACCGACGTCTCGTGCGCCGCGTGTGGAACGTGTTTTCTCGCGTAAACCGCGCTTCCTCCTGTGCGCCTCTAAACCAGAACTAACACCAGGACTAAACCAGGACTAAACCAGGACTACACCAGGACTGAACCAGGTTTAAACTAGGACTAAACCACGACTAAACCAGAACTAAAGACCTGGTCTACACCTGGTCTAAACCAGGTCTGAAATCAGGAGTAAACCAGGTCTAAAAATCAGGACTAAACCAGGACTAAACCAGAACTAAACCAGGACTAAACCAGGTCTAAACAACATGACACCTAACAGTAGGCTGACATAATTTAAGGTGATCTCATATAAAAAACAATTTCTCTATCAATAATATTTTTTAATCTGGTGAAGGAAAGGCTGATCTTGTTACTGTTTTTTAACAGACAAAACCTCTTATATTAAGATCTCGTGGTCTTTGTTTCTCTACAGCAAACAGTTGTTTATTCATGGAGACTTGGGCTCAGACAATTTGAAGACAACAAACGAGAATTTTCAGGATGTGGTTGCTACATTCATGTCGTTTAAAAAAACATGACAATATCAAGTAATCCAAAGTAATCAGATTACGTTACTCACTTTAAGTAATTTAATGGATTACGTTACAAACTACATGTTGGGGTGTGTAATCTGTAATCTGTAGGGGAATACATTTTAAAAGTAACCTTCTCAACACTGAGCATATTCTTTCAACAAGTAAATGGATTGGCCGACCCGGTCCTGTTGTGTTCTCACATATCACCACTAGATGCGCTCTATGGCTCTGTTTACACGAGACACATTTCCCTTCGTTTGTACCCATCTTTTATGCACCAAACATGCAACCAATGTTTGCTTTTTGCTATGATGATGATCATGGAAGCAACAGTCGCATTTCTTCTGGTGCAAACTCTTTTCATGTGTTTGTATTTGCACACATAGCTGAAGGATCAGATCTATGACCAGAGACCAATGAGGCTAGGAGGTCAGCAATTTTGCCACTTCTTTAACAGATCTGTGGCGAGGCAAGCCCGCTCAGTTAAGCATGTTTTTTCAAAGTATTTTTGAGTAACTTACACTGTCATGAAATAAATGCTACAGGTTTGAATCTAATCCAGGTGAACCCAGAGGCTTGGTGTAGTTATGACGGCGCAAGGTGGCGTATTTATGCAGGCTGATGTAAATGTAACGATGCTGTGTGCTGCACGATGTTATTTTAGAAAGTGGAGGGAGGGAAATATTCATTTCTCAACATACCTGGCTATGTGTAAACGCAGCCTAGGTCTCTAGGCTCCAGATGGTAGCTTTAAATCTAAGGTAGTATAATCTGTTTGTATATGGATTTAGAGTGAACTTGGATGTGTTTTTAGTGTCTCTGCAGCTGTGACCTGTTTTTATCTCCCTCTGTACCTTTGTTACTCACTGGTGTGGTGGGCACCCCTCCAGCCACTCTCTTTGTGCGGCCTCTTCCTCTCTCCACCACCGCCTCGTCATCCACAATGTTCATGTTTGGAACTCCACATTTCACCTGAGACTCCATGTTCTGTCTGCTCAACCTGATCTCTAAAAAACACAAAACGTACAACTAAAGAGCCCATATATACCCTATTTTCTGCTAATTTGGGGTTAGTTCTTCTCTCAAACAGAAAACGCTCAGACCCTGGCAAACAAACCGGAAGTGAAGACTTTTGAAGAGTGCAAGAGTGAAAGAGTTTTTAGATCATCTGATGGAATACAGAATACAGACAGAACAACACAGACGATGAACAGAAGTCTCTATCTGTATCTGTATTTGTCAAGAGCATAAATGAGTCTTTAGGATAAACAATTCTCTCTAGTTCAGCATTTGGTGCATGTTTATCTGAAAATAATACACAACTCACCATTTTTGGGAGTGGTGACATCTGCAGAAAAAAGACAGGAAGATAAATAATTATTTTTATTAATTTTATACACATTTTATTTCTAGATCTAATGCCAATCATCAAGGGACATCTCTTCTTAACATTTCATTTCTTGGTCTATGCATTATTGAATTTTCTAGTCAACAGTGTCAACATTAGTGAACATTATGAACATGAGATTATACATACATGGGTCTTGCCTCTCTAAGTCAGGTGCTATTTGCTCTGTGGGGAAAAAAAAAGTTTCTATTATAATCTTTACTCTTTATTTTTGAGTACATAAAAATAAAATGTTTAGCCTGAATAAATGTCACCTTTGCATAATTTTATGTTAAGCAAAAGCAAATCTTTTTTTTTAAGACTTTTTATTTAAAGAGGGGGTATTTTACAAGCCATATTCATCAGACCGTTTCACTTCGTGGAAACCGTTCTGACCACGCAGCATTAGAATTTGTTCGCTTAACAGTAGGCGGGTACTTTTTTTATTTAACCAATCATTATTATTTGGTCGTGACTTTTGTAATGCGCCCGAACGCTCAGTGGTGTCCAAGTAAACAACAGCAAACAAAGCAGAGAGTGAACATGTCTGTCAACGATCATTGTCGCTTCTGTGAAGTGAACTTGTGAATTAAAGGTGCAATAAAAAAATGCATCATCCACATCATGGCTTCACAGCTATTCGCTGATTGGCTGGTGCACGGTCGACAACTTTCAGGGTTCTTACAAACTGTCTAGTGTTTTCCAATTCCTGATCTAGTCACTGGAGAGAAATGAAATTGAGCGGAAGCACTAGGTGGCACCAGCCTGGCTAGTATTTTACTGGGGTATTGTCTGTAACACATGACATTTTTGAAAGTTTTGAAAATGCTCTATTCACCAAAAACAACATATTAACATAATATAACACCTTTTTGATGCTCTGAGTTTTCCTTTCAGAGCACTATCACAACACAATCAGCGTGAATCCCGCTAATGAAACTACTGCACATCACATCAGGTTTGGGAAGTCGCTGTGTAAAGTTGTGTTTTGTATCAGGGTTTGAATATGGCCCAGAAGAGATCGCTAGATTACTCAAACGTGCATGGATGACATCTCTTGAAGGCGCAACATTATAACATGTAAGAAGTGATTTTACATAATACCCCCTCTTTAAAGAAAGTTTAATTTAATAAATATAAAAGGTTATTTAAGGTAATTCTGTTTATTTGTGAGCGTACAGATTCAACATTTTTGCTGCTAATACATGCCATGACAACACACTTTTAAAGGTGCATTGTGCAACTTTTCTAGTGGAGGGTCTATCACCTGCTCATTTTTAAGGATACGTCATTGCTTTGCCTAGAATGTTCCACAGTATGACATTAAACAGCTCTACTTTACATATTTTTAATTACAGGTGGTTTTATAGCTCAAATATACTTAGAAAAACAGGCAGTCTGACTGTGATCAGAGTTGCCTCTCCACAGATCTGACCTGTAACCAGGTCTAGTTTGGTCTCCATGAAGATAGAAAGGTTTAACACCATACTGGGAAACATTCCAGACAAAGTAATAACATCACTGGAAAAGTTACACAATGCACCTTTAAGAACATAATACTAATTCAGTCTTGTATAAACCAATAATAGTAATGATCTCACCTGGTGTTTTCACCTCGTCTCCTCCGTCCAGACAGTCCCTCACTCCGTCCCCGACTGCAGATCTGGGGATGCACACTCCAGAGTTACACCTGAACGCATCTCCACTGCACTCTGAAACAACACCAAAAAGTGTGAATAAATCAACTTAGACTTAGACAAACTTTATTGATCCACAAGGGAAATGACTTGGACACAGTAGCACCGCAAGTAACATCACAATATATTACAATATTGTAATAACAGATACAAAAAAATACATATTCTTAATAAGTAGCAATAAAAATAGCAAGAGACTGATGTCAAATAAGGCATCATTATATAAATGTATATGTACACGTAAAAAATTAAATAGAAAATAAGTAATAAAAATATCTCAGCTATATACAGAGGTCGTAAGGAGAAAATGATATGATGATTGACAGGACATAGGTTTATCTGGTACATAAGGGTGAGTTGTACAGTTGTAGGGAGTATTATAGTATGAAAGTAGTCAAGTATCTCTCATTGTTTGAGTGGAGCTGTAAGAGCCTGTTGGAGAATGAGCTGGTGCAGTGGGTGAGTTGTTGTACCCTTGTAGGGAGTATTATCTGTCCCTCTATTGTCTGGTGCAGTGGGTGAGTTGTAAGTTTAACTGTCAGCCTCAATGAGCTTCATTTGACTGGAGCCAAACGCTATGAGTGACGTCACTCTCACTCTTTATACAGTCTGTGGTTGTGCACATGACAAGAGGGTGAAATATAGTTCTGTGTCTTCATCGAGGTCCATGCACCGCAAAGTAATTCACCACCAAAACACTAGAAGGCTAGAATATATGTCCATTCATATATACAGTCAATGCATATGACCTGCTGATGTATAAGCTCTGAAAAGTTTAATATGAACCATCTCCAACACAATAGAAGCACAGAACAGATTCACCATCAGCAGAGCACCCCTCTGTCACAGAAAGAACTGAGTCGGGTGCTTTTAATGAATAAAAACTTGTTTAACTTTACTTTGGCAGCACATCTCGTCACTTCGGTCTCCACAGTCGTCAACACCATCACACGTGAGCAGCCTGGAAATACATTTGGAGTTTACGCAGTTAAAGTTGCAACCTGGAATACAGAAGAACAAATGGACTGTTACCATGGCAATACACAGTACAGATTTTAGAGAAAAAAGCAAGAAAAATTACAAAATGGATTTGCATAAGTTAAGAATAACTTTGGACCAGTGCAAACTGTTTAAAATTAACTAGTTATTTTTTCCACATTTTTAAGACAAAGGGCCTCTAAAGAGGGGGTAATATGCAAAATAATTTTATTTTGCTTTCTATAATGTTATAATGTTGTTCCCTAATTAAAAAGATGCCTGAAGAGGTTTTAGATGTCATCACTGCATGTTTGAGTAGTAGCGATTACTCCCGTGTCTTATTCAAACTCTCCTCATGGTTTCAAGCCCACAAACCTACGGCACCACACAACATTTCTCCATAAATATACAAAAACATGATAAAAAACTGTACACAACAACTTGACAAACTTGATGCGATGTGCAGTCATTTTATTAATGTTGTTAAATATGTTGTTTTTGACAAATATAGCATTTAATAATAAAAAATAAAAAGGTAATACGGTAAACTAACATCCCATAGAAATAAAACTTTTTAAGGCCATTAAATTTGTAGTGATTGTAAACAACCTATATTACACATAGTCAGGTTTGGGAAGTAACTGAATACATGTACCGAAAATACATATTCTGAATACTACTTTTGAGTAGCTGTATTCTGGTATCGGTACTTAATTATGCAAGTTTGGATTTGAACTGCACAGTATTAGTGAGACAAAAAGCGCACGTACGTGTGATTTTTCATCTCTAATTAGATATAAATTAATACATAATAACAAAAATGTTATGTTATTAATAATAAAAATTCATTAGTCTTAAATACTACTTTTTCAGGAGCTTAAAGTCGCTTTACAATTTGGTGCATTATTCATCCACTCCGCATTCAGTGGTGGCAAGTTACTACTGTACTATAGATACTAGTACCCTGGGACGGACTGACAGAAGTGAGGCTGCCAATCTTCACCATCAGTCTGTCTGACCACCACTTAAACTTACACATACACTCCGCTTTCATACTGGGCAATGTGGGTGAAAAGTTTTGCCTAATGATACAACAACAGTTTTTGCCACAGTTTGACCACAACACTGTAGCTGTAATCTAGCTCGATGTAAAAGTACTGTATTTCCTGGGCTATTAGGCGCGCTCTTAAGCCTCTAACCCTATCAAAAAACGGCCGCAATCCAGAGCACCCTATACATGAATCCAGCACGACTTCAGTAAACTACAAGTCATGTCCCAGCACGACTTCAGTAAACTACAAGTCATGTCCCAGCACGACTTCAGTAAACTACAAGTCATGTCCCAGCACGACTTCAGTAAACTACAAGTCATGTCCCAGCACGACTTCAGTAAACTACAAGTCATGTCCCAGCACGACTTCAGTAAACTACAAGTCATGTCCCAGCACGACTTCAGTAAACTACAAAGCCGCACCACCCGCAGCTCACGCAAACACGCACAGAGCAGACAGCGACCGCACAGCGAAACACACCCTCAGCCACTCTCATCACTCCCCGCAGACGAGGAACGGAATGGAGGAATGAACCGAAAAAGCGAGTACAATGTGTCACTTCTAGCCACAACTGAACAACTGAGTCACTGCGAACACGCTGACAATCCGTTGGTCCCAGACAGCACCCTCCCTACACGCCACAACTGAACAAAGCCCAGAGTCACCGTGAATGCCACAAACAAAGTCTGACTGAGCCATCTAACTGTTGTGTTCAATGGGTCAGTCGCAGTTTATTTGTGAAAAAATTAAAAAAATAGACCATTTAATGACAGTGCGTCTTATAATCCAGAGCGACTAATAGCCCGTAAAATATGGTATCTCAGATTGGTCCATGTATCAGAATATGTTACAAAATACTTTTTCATGTAGATATTTAGTATTCTGTAGCTAAATACATTTAAATACAAGTATTTCTTCAATCACTGCTCATAGTTGTGTTTGTATTTGACCTTTGATGGGGCCGCTGTAGCAGTCTGCCTTTGCGACTGTGTGGTCCATGCTGCTGTGGGTGAGGAGGCGACACTCTCCCAGGTTATTCTCAAACCCCTCACACTCAACATGAACACAGCTCTTTGGGTATCCATGCTCCTTCTTCAGGTCAGAAAATTGGATTTTGAGAGCTTCTTGTGCACCTCTAGGAAAAAACACATAAATTAGTTAAAGGTCCTATATCACACAAAACTGACTATTGTGAGCTTTTAATCATGTTAGAATGTTGGTACCTCTTCAAAAACAGACCTGGAGTTGTGTTTTGTTTCATTCACACATTGGGTTATCCTTTATTATTAGTCTATCTACAGTCCCTGGCAAAAGTCTTGTCGCTTATCCATTCTGTAGAAACAAAAGCTTATAACCTGACTTTAAATTAATCGATTGGGTTTTAGAAATGTCTCATATGAAAGCTAAAACCCTCCCAAATTATGTTCAATATACTAAAATAAATTAGCTTCACTGAAGAAAGATTGATCATTTAATGAACACAGAAAGGTCAGATTTTGGCAAGACAAAAGTTTTGTCGCCTATAGAAAATTTAACAAATAATTTACTCCAAATACAAAAATATGTTGCATAACGTCAGTGAATTGAGTAGTGGTGCTGTGAGATCCATATTTAATATCTTGTATGACTCCATGAGCTTGAAGGATGCATCCATGCGGTTCGACAATGATTCATACAATTTGTTGATGAAGTCATCAGGAATAGTAAAGAAAGTGTCTTACATGCCTCCCAGAGTTCATCAAGATTCTTTGGTTTTGCCTTCCATGCTTCCTCTTTCATTCTACCCCAGACCTGCTCAATGATGTTCATGTCTGGTGACTGGGCTGGCCAGTCCTGGAGCACCTTGATCTTCTTCACCTTGAGAAACTTTGATGTAGAGATAGAAGTATGTGATGGAGCACCATCCTGCTGCAAAATTTGACCCCTTTTATGGTTGGGAATGTAAGAGGAGCTAATACTTCTTGATATTTTAGGCTATTGATATTTGCCTTCCACCCTGCAAATGTCTCACACACCCCCAGACTGGATGGAACCACAGACTAGGATTTTTCCACCACCAAACTTGACTGTTTTCTGGGTGAATCTTGGATCCATGTGGGCTCCAGTAGGTCTCCTGCAATATTTGCGGCGGCTGTGATGTAATTCAACCGAGGATTCATCTGAGAAATCCACCTTCTGCCACTTTTCCAGTGTCCATCCTTTTAGCAGGCTGTGGGCCTTGGCAAATGCCACACGGTTTTTTTAATTGCCTTTTGTTTAGTGCTGGTTTCTGTGCACTGATTCGACCATGGAGGCCATTTCGAGACAGAATTCTACAAACTGTTGTGGTTGACACAGGGACTTGAGGTGACCAGGCCTGGTGGAGTCTGCTGCAGTGGAAAAGGGGCCTTGGATTTTTGAATCAACAAACGGTCCTCCCGAGCAGTTGTCTTGCGGGGTCTGCCGGACCTGGGCTTGTCAAAAAACATCTCCAGTCATTTCAGATCTTTTTCTTATTCTTTGTACTTGACGCTGAGACACATTGAAGGTGTCACCACCTCAGCAGTGGATCTGGTCTTCAGCCTCTTGATAATTAAGGCTTTGGTCTCAGGGTGGATCTTAGGCATGTTGTCAGAGGTCAAGTTGCAGTTGATGTGAAGGTCTGGTGTGCTGGGTTCTTTTTATACACACCCACTAATTGATTGATCAGTAACTGATCACAGGTGAGGCTGTAATCTAGGATTGGGTGCATCATATGACAAGGCCACAAGACTTTTGTCTTGCCAAAATCTGACCTTTCTGTGTTCATTAAATGATCAATCTTTCTTCAGTGAAGCAAATTTATTTTAGTATACTGAGCATAATTTGTGAGGGTTTTAGCTTTCATATGAGACATTTCTAAAACCAATCGATTAATTTAAAGTCAGATTATAAGCTTTTGTTTCTACAAAATGGATAAGCGACAAGACTTTTGTCAGGGACTGTACATCTCTAAAGCTCAAAATGCTCTGTTCCACTTTGTGATGTCATGAAGCTCCTTTTACCTTAAGTTCAGTAGAGATTGGCGATTCCAGGGCTGAAAATATCCAAATGATTCTAGTGAAGGTGTATAGAGTTTAAAAACACAGTGGAGCACTTCCTGTGTTTTATGTTTGAGAGAACTCAGCCTAAATATGCAGGATATGTGTGCTAAACATGAGTGAATGAAACAAAACACAACTCCAAAAAAAAATTTACATAGAAAGGTGCACGATGTAACTTTTTGGTTAAGGGTCTGTTACCTGCTTGTTTCTATGGACATGTCATTGCTCTGCCTAGAATGTTCCACAGTATGACATTAAACAGCTCTACCTTACATTTATTTAATTACAGGTGGCTTTATAGCTCAAAAATACCTAGAAATACAACATACTGACTGTGAGCAGGGTCACCTCTCCGCAGATCTGACCTTTAACTAGGTCTGGTTTGGTCTCCAAGAAGATAGAAAGTTTTAATCTATACTGTGGAACATTCTAGATACAGCAATAACACCTCCATATAGACAAGCAGGTGGCAGACACTCTACTGAAAATGTTACGTAATGTTCTTATCTGTTAGTTGAGTCCAGTTTCCTCACAGTGGATGTTGACGTTCTTTGCAGTACACATTTGCGGCGACCTTGTTCCAGGACGAGCCACAGATCAGCTTCCAGTCGGCCGTCTCAGGGTTAAAGGGGTTCGGTATCTCCAGAAGGATCGCACCTGTGTCCGGGTCCTCACTGCTGCTGTAGATCTTATGCTCCGCTTTGGATAGAAACAAAATGAAAATTAAAAATCCTATATCACACAAAACTGACTCCTGTGAGCTTTTAGTCATGTTATAATGTTGTTTCCTCTTCAAAAACAGACCTGGAGTTGTGTTTTGTTTCATTCACACATGTTTGAGTAGCCCTTTATTATTAATCCATTTCCAAAGCCCAAAATGCTCTGTTCCTCCTTGTGATGTGGTGTAGTGGTAGTTTTCAAGTTCAAGTTACCTTTAGTTTAGTTGCATTTCCAGGGCTGAAATGATCCAAATGATTCTAGTGACTTTGCATGGAGTTTAAAACACAGTGGTGCACTTCCTGTATTACCACATGACATCACAAGGAGTGTTTTCTGTTTGAGAAAATAACTGAGCCTAAATATGCAGGATTTGTGTATTAAACATGTGTGAATGAAACAAAACACAATTCCAGATATGTTTTTCATAAGGAAACATAACACAGATCAGTGCAATATGGGCCCTTTAAAACACATTACCAGTCAAAAGTTTGGACACACCACACACACATTCAGTGTTTTTGTTTCTTTGTTTTTTTTTACTACTTTCTACAGTTTATATACTTACAGAAGCCATCCAATATATGAAGGTATATGGAATTATGTAGCAAAGAAAATGTGAAATAACTGCACAGGTAGTTCCGGCAACAGTTAATCACTGTTCTATATCACTAAGCTGTGAGCATCACCATCGCAATGGGTAAACAAATGAACTACAGTTAGAAGGGACAAGCTTCAGCTGAAACAGAAATAACTAATGCTTTGAACATTCACAGACAGCCAAAACTATTTTGAGTTGGTGGGACCATGGTATAAGAAGATTAAACAACTCTGACATATTTTATACTCAGATCCTCAAAGTAGCCGCCCTGTGCTTTGTCAAAAATCCTTTAGTAATCAAGACTTTTACTGTTAAGATCTGAGGCATTCAAACTCACATGAACAGGTATCTGCAAAATGGGACATTACTGGGAGTTGGCTTTGACAAGACGACGCCATTGCCTAAAAGCATAAAGAAAATGAGTTAGGACTGCAACTAATGATTATTTAAATGATTAAAGACATAAAATCAATAGTTTTTTTTAGCTTTCTACCATGTTATAAAGTTGTTCTCTCATCAAAAACATGCCTGAAGAGGTTGTAGATGTCATGCATGCATGTTTGAGTATTTTAGTGCTCTCTCCAGGGCCCTATTCGAAGCTGTAAGATTCTGTAAAAGGTTTCTCCCACAAACCTATGTCACCCATGCTCTCACATGACAATTCTACATAAATATACAAAAACAAAATATACAAAAACATGACACAAAACAGTACACAGCAACTTAACAAACCTGATGCAATGTGCAGTAGTTTCATTAGTGGGACGCTTGCTGATTGTGTTGTGATTGTGCTCTGAAGGGGGAGCGACTTAGCGCAGACAGCCAAGGGATGGGAGATGTTAAACTTATAAAATATGTTAATGAGACTCTGGGTCTAATTCACTTTCTATTTAAAAAAAACAACAATAAAAAACCCATCGCCCCTCTTTAAGTAACTTTTGCTGTCAGACTCGTCATTTTTGTCTTAAATGTTTCTTATTAACCTGCTCTACATGATCCTGGGGTTTTTAATTCTCTATTAAGTCCATAAATTAAGACATAAACATTAATAACAGATTTTCCTCGAGGTCGCTCCTGCTGTCATTAGCAACAGGTTGATTGACAGCATTGCTAAGCACCCGCTCTCTGCCAAACCAGTGATATGGGCGTGGAGTTACCTTCCGCACCCTTGCTCCTGATTGGCTCTTTGGTTGCTATGATACTGAAGAGAGAAATTTGCCTCATAACTGCCACCCTCCATGAGCTTCATTTGACTGGAGCCAAACACTATGATGTTACATTCCCTCATATTTAGGTCATTTTAAAGGGGCAGTTCAGAATTTTGGACATATGGCCTCATTTCCTAGTGAGCCAGAGTACTATAGATATGTGGAGAGACTTTTTGAAATAATCCATCCAATCCTTGTATTTGCAGAGGTTGTTGGTGCTAGGCTAGCGCAACTCAATGGCCATAGTTAGCCTGCCACTAAAAACAGTCTTACCCACTCCACAGTGCACCCGAAGCAAATCTATTATTACACCAGACTGTGTTCAAATACACACATTTGACAACAAGGTGTTTCCCCTGGTTTAATATATTTCTTGTAAAAAAAATCAGGTGAGGTGTTTGGTGTGTTCCAAGCATCTTGGATACAACAACGTATCCAAATGTGCCTGTTATACATTTTTTGGCTACTTGATGGGGCAGTGGAGCAAATGAAGCACCTTGAAGCATCGGCTCAAGAGTCGAGCAAATGGATGGAACGTTTCAGTGCTTCATGGGGCTTCATCTCGCCATCACTAGTAATGACTACATTTTTCATCATGATAAACTACTATAAATATATTTTTTTGACAGCGAAGACGATCTAAAAATAAGTAAACACAGATATAAACATAAAGAGTGATGGAGTTTACCTGGCAGTAGGATCTGTAACCACGGTGATCTCGTCCACAAACGGATGTAACGTTTTGAGTGGGACAGAGATACTGAGGTTTACAGATACACTTCCCATTCACACAGCGCTCCCAGGGATAACAGAACACCAGACTACAGGACGCTCTCGTGTGTCTACAAACAACAGAGAGACAGAGTGGTTAGCCTGTCTCCTCTCAGTAAGAAGGCTGAAGCAATAGTTTGGCACATCGATTGTTCATTCTGTAAAAATCTGCACTGTTTCTCAATCTCTTATGTAGATTTTTCACCTTTTTTATGTGTAACCAACCTCTTGTATATAGCTGAGATATATTCATATTACTATATTCTAGAAAGATCCGATATCGACACCTTCCTAAAATATTCGCATAAGTCTGTTTTTTTTTTTTTTTTTTTTAAGTTTTTCAGGAAACACAAAAAATGTACTCAAAACTTGAAATTATGGCATTCAATGATGATTTAATTCAGAAAATATGTAACAAAGGATGATACTTGGCATAATAAGAACACTGTTCGGGTGTTACAAAAGACTAAGGCCATACTGAGCCAACCTAACCATGTTCTGCACTCACAGTTCATGAAAATGTCCTCTGGGAGGCGCTATGTCACCTCACAGCAAAAGACTAACCATTACGCCAAATCTTTAATTCCCTCTGCCATAAGGATTTTAAATGGAAAGTGAATTTGTTACCATGTCCCTGATGCACTGTGGTTTGAACGTCTGGTGTCTGTCTTTCTTTTTCTTTATTTCTTTATTATTTATATTTATATATTGTGCGTGACCAGAGATGTGCGATCTGAATTGCCCTTTGGGATTAATAAAGTTGTTGATTGATTGTTTTTTATGTAATTAAAAAGAAATGAATAACTTAGGCATTTTTTAGACCATACCTTTTGTGACATGGGCAATATGATAACACTTTGTATTGCATGAATATTAATGTCACTTGTTTCATGTTTAGGAAATGGATACAGGCACTACAAAAACAAACTGATTTCTAAAGATGTCAAATGTCAACTTTAAAGAAAAATGAATGAGACTTTACAACAACAATTAAGAACATTAAACATTTACTCAGGAATTTTTGTTTACAAAAGACGTGAACACTGCCAAACCAAAAGTTTTTTCCAGCTTTTTTTAATCTGTTGCTTATGAATGTGGTAAATTGTCACAAAACTGATGGCACTCGTCTGGTATGACATGTTTGATTGACTGGAGGTCCTAAAACTTGCTCTCCTTGATTGGCAGAGCATGTGGAAATATCTTACCCATTTTATTTGTTCATTTGGTACCTGTACCCTCTGTGGCAGTTCTTCCCATGCAGAATCTTCTCCAAAGGACACATTGTAATAGACTTTGCCTTCACTGAAAATTATCTAAGTCACATTTTATTTTAACTTGGGCAAAATAAATCAGCCTAAGTCACACTCTTGACACAGGCAATTCTCCTAAAGGGCTATTATCACATGATCTACTCAACTAAGGGTGTTGGCAATTCTACCATAGGGACCAGCACTGAGAGGAAAGGATTAAGGCAAAAAGTCAATTTGGGCAAAAAATTACTTTGCCGATTATTTTAGGAAGGTGACGCATATATGATACCAATAAAACTTTGGGCTTTGGAGGGGCCCATAGCCGATATAACAGCCAATATATTTAGTGATGTAAAAATTCACTGTAAATCTTCAGATGATTATAAAACTGAGGTTTGGCTCTATTGGATTTTAAATTGGGTTTTTTAGGCTACCTTTATTGTTATTCTGCCTTTTACCGTCATATTTAAAAGAAAGTAGGTCGGCCTAATGGCATTTTGCATGACATTCTAGTCTGTAAACAAAGTAAGTAAACTACCTCTATTAGCCTTTAGAGGTAAATACGTGTGCGCTGCAGTAATTATTTATATGTTTAAATGCAGACCATTCACACCCTCTATTGACAGCTCATCTACTCTAAAGATCAATGCGTGTCCAGTAACATGTATACAGCCACTATAGTCACATTACAGTAGGCTAATATAGGACAAAACTTTATCAGTAACAAAAAAGTTTACAATATTCTCTTTTAAATCTAAATAATAAAAGCCATGAATTACTTTTGCAAATAATATTTATATTTTCATAATAACATTAGCTATTTTAATCATGTTTTTAATGAACTTATGTATTCATATTTAATGTCCCTTTTCCTATCATGAAAAGCTCTGTTATTACTGAGTCTATTTGTGACAAGGGTAACACTTACCTCTGTTTTAAACACTGCTCTGGACCCAAGTTTGGATTCTCGTGTGGTATTTTGCTCCTCTGCATCATTAAAAAATCCAAATCCTCTGAGCGGTTCTCCTAAAAGAAACAAAAGAATTAATTGATACTTTGCAGTGGCCTCACAGTGGGGGTGTTCCACATATATCTCTATGGTGGAATATTCAGCAGTTACTATGGTGACACAGTGCACACATTAGTAAACACTAGATAAGTTTAAAGATACTCTGATAAATCGAGAATAAATACAAAATGGATTTAAACAGCAAAAACACATGTAAATGAGTAAAGGCAAGCTGGAGAGTCAAAAACCATACTGTGAAACATTCCAGACAAAAGCATTAACATCTCCATGGAGAAAAGCATTTGACGGTCCCTCCATCAGGAAAGTTACACAATGCACTTTTCAGAATGTTTAAATACATTGAAAAGTTTCCTTACCGCTAAAGTCTGAAGCACCACCAGCAGCAGCAGCAGAAATAAGCCTGTTAGTTTCATCCTGACCCACATGCTTTAACTCCACATCTACAACAAATGACAAAACTAATTATAATACAAATTACAATAGACTTTTGATTTTACCACACAGTTCTTTAAAGTGTGAATGGACTGAGAGGTATGAAAATTCTGGTGTTGTGATGTCAACATCTGATGATTAATATTGTGTCCTTTTTTGGCCCTCATTGATTTCAAAGGGAGTGTGTTACACTTAACCCAGACTAAACAAACTTCAAATGTGGGCGAAAGGAACAAAGTACATTGTGCCTGAAAATAAATAAACTAAATAAGAAATAATAAAATAAAAGATAATAAATAATTGAATAAATAAAATAATGAATAAAATCATTAAAAACACCATTTCCATTATTATTATTATTTTAGTTTTACACAGCCCATATTATGCTACTTTCAGATCTATACCGTTATTTCCTCATCAAAAACATACCTGAGGCCCTAGAATTATTTGGATAATTTCAGCCCTGAAGTTGCCAATATCTACTGAACAAAAGACAAAGGGTTGTGGTTACTACTATATGACATCACAAGGTGGAACTTATGATTTTGATCTTTGGAAATTATAAAGGGTTACTCAAACATGTGTGAATGAAACAAAAACACAACTCCAGGTATATTTTAGAAAGTAACAACATTCTAACACAAGAAACTAAATTATAACAGATCAGAAAATACAGTAATATTGCCTCTGTAAGGTAACACTGGTATTTAAAACATGTTCTCAGTTCTTTGTCAGAACTTGTGACCCACTTTTCAGCCTGGCTTGGAATCCTCTTCAGTAAATAAAACACCATGGTTAATGTTCAGCTGTGTATCAATACGCCTACAATTACAAAATCTGGACATTTCAACAGTTACCATGTTGACACATTTGCACACATTAGCAAAAAAACTGTCAATATGTTTTAAGATAGTCTGAAAACTCATGGAAAAATACAAAATAGTTGTAGCCTCCTAGGACCCATTGTCTGTGGACATACATATATGTACATCCAAGGCTTTGGGGGCAGGAGTGCTACTTGGATATGCAAAAAAATTTGCAGAATTGTTCTTTTGGTGCTCTTCAGTGTAGGGACCAGGCTCAAATACAAAGTAGGAAAAAAACTGAGGCACTCAAAAAGTTCAAAATAATTAAAAGCCTTTAATACCACATGGCAGATAAAGTTAAAATACGCCAACGCGTTTCGGCCCTTCGGCTTCATCAGGACAAACTCGAGATGGTTATCACAGTGCAGATTTAAAGTAATAGGTGTAGGTCACATTACATGAAAATAGTATAAAATAGTATAAAAACTCATATTAAAAGATACATAGTGTAAGGATATATATAGTGTGATAATTCAAAAGTGCTTCAGCTATAGTTGCATAATATTAAGGGCTAGTCTTAAATAATTTCATGAAGACAGGGATATAGAGCAAGGATCGATTACACATTTAAAGCTTGTAGTTTTAAAGGAAGGGGGAGAAATCTAACTCTCTGTTGAGTCCTGGAAACTGTGTAGCCTTGAGAGTGTAAATCCAGTAGGTCTCTCTCTGTAATAGTTTTCTCAGTCTATCTCCTCCTCTTATTATTTCTTTAATATGTTCAATTGCACAAACTTTTAGGCTTTTACAGCTGCCATGGTTGGCTTCTTTGTAATGCACGGCCATAGGATACAGGGGGTTACAGGTCCTTATAGCCGGTTTGTGCTCAGCCAGTCTATTTTTCAATTATTTTGTACTTTTTGAGTGTCTCAGTTTTTTTCCTACTTTATATATGTACATCCATTTTGGGTTGTCCCATCAACTACATAATGTAAAAATATAATTCTTACACGCATCACGCCCCAATCAACCCAAATAACAAAGACAAATCAAAAAAGCATGCCATGCAAGAGTTCAGGCTGTAAGAAATGAAACAGCACATTTTCAGGAGCCTGAGATCAGTTTGAGAGTTCATGGTCCTGTTTAGGAGTTTGATTTTCAACAAAAAGATGAGAATGATGAACTGAAAATGTTATGGTTTGGCAAGAGGGACCCCAACGCAGAGCCAGGACTCAGTCAAGTTTTAACAGTTTATTTTACAAACGGAAGGCAGGCTGAGGAGGCAGGGAACTGGCTGGCTTCTCCAGAGGCAACAGCAGACGACCACAGAGATATCTGGGCAAAAACAGGAGCAGGTAAGTCCAAAACAAACAATAAGCAAAACAGGTAAATATCCAAGAGCCTGATAGAGCGCTACCAAACAGGACAGAATTATCTGGCAAAGTGGTGGAAGACCAGGGCTAAATACAGAGGCTGATGAAGGAATTGATTGCAGGTGTGTCTCATCTGCTCTGGAGTAAGCCAGCCACGCCCCCTGCCACACTCAAGCTCTGCAACAGAAGGGGAAGGGGGAGGGGGAGAGAACAAAAAAAACAAATCCTAACAGAAAAACTGTTTATGTTACCTAGATTGTGACTGTAACCATACCGGCTTGTCAAAGCTTGATCTCCTCAGATCTCAGAAGCTAAGCAGGGCCGGCCTGGGTAGTACTTGGATGAGAGACCACTCAGAATTCCAGATGCCACAGTGGGGTCACAAAAAAAAAATGTCTTTGTGTCCTTAGGCAACGCACTTCACCCACATTTTGTGTGTGTGTGTCCCAGGACAGTTGTGGCTACAATAGTAGCATACCTTCACTGAGTATAGAGTGACTGAATACTGCTCTGTAAAACATCTTTGTGACATACTTTATGTCTCTGAAAAGCACTATATAAATAAAAACTTATTTACTGTAACTTTATTTGTGAGAGTGAGACATGTTTAACAGCACAAATCATTTCACCTGCTGTAGTTTCATCTAAATCAGTTTTTTCTGATCAGATTGTGGTAAAATAAAGCTCAGATTAAAAGTCTAATTTGAATAACAAAGCTTCAGACAAAGCAGTGCCTATAGTTAGCTTCACACCCCCAGGAAATGTTGATGACATCAGCTGCAAAGTATCAATAGCACTTTGAACTAACTAAGGCAACAACAAGTCTAAATAAAGTGCACTGTGTTACCTTTTGGTTAGGGGTCTGTCACTTACTTCTTTCCGAGGATATGTGAGGACTGTGAGCAGGATCGCTTCTCCACTAGGGTGACCAGATTTTCCAAATTCTACACTGGAACACACGGGTTGGGATGGTTGGTAAATAAAATTTTGAAAATTGCATGTAAGATTGTGCATCCTTACATCAGTCAATCACTCTGAGGGACTTCTGTCACTGCATTGTTTTGCTTTATGGTCATTTGCAAACACTGATTTCTGTATTTTGGCAAAACAAATGGCAATTTATGCTACCTTTTACTGTTGCCAGGGGTCAGATTAGTCAAAAATTGTGATAGTCCTTTTTTAGTCCTGGTTTAATCTTATTTAAGTCCTGGTTTACACCTGTTTTATATCAAATTGGTCAAAAATAGGGACATTTCTTGTATAAAACTGTTACAAATCATTGGTTTTGTGTAAACCTGCTGGGACAGGGGACACAGGGCTCAAAACTGGGCCTGTCCCAGGTAAATAGGGATGTCTGGTCACCCTACTTCACAGATCTGACGTGTAACTTGGTCTGGTTTGGTCTCCATGAAGCTAAAAACGTTGAATACCATACTGTGAATAATTCCAGACGAAGCAATAACATCTGCGTGGAAAAAAAAAACATTTGAAAAGTCACTCAACGCACCTTTAAGTAGTTTATGAAGTAAAGTCATGAAAAACCTTGAGGTACATGGGGTGGAGGTGCATCCTGGTGGAGCTCCGCAGCATGACAGGCTCCGCGGTTTAATGGTGGTACAGTCCGGACTCCCCTGTCTTTGTTTTGGTTCAGTCCGGTTCGGGCGGGCTGCGGCCACGTGACAGCGTACGTCAACAAGCAACATGGCGTCCTCGGAGCGTAACCGTGAAACGAACTGAACAACGAAGCTAAGAAACCTGCAAAAACACCGCAATTATCTGCGATTTTCACCCCGAGTGTCCCCTTTCGGCTGCGGGTAAGTGCGGAGCGTGGCTGTAATTGAAGATATCCCGCAGAATACGTTAAAAATGTGCAAAATTAGCGCTTTATTCGGAGTAAAGCTTGAAGCCGTGCTAAATGTAAACAGTGAAAGAAGCAGCGAGTCAAAGCGAAAAAGCGGAGGGGTGTGCATGTTTAACCACAAATCCAGACACTTTTAGTCAATTTCAGACAATATATCTCTTATTGAATTGTTATAATGCTGTTTTTTCGCTTTGAATGCATTAACTGAAAAAAAAAAAAGAAAACGGTTAAACATAGAAATGAATGAATGAAGCATACTATTTATAGTTAACGACCAACCTTTACTTGTCTTTTGTGTTATAAATGTGCACCATTTTAGGAGCTGACTTTATTATTAAGTCATTCAAACTAATTATATTTATTTATTCATTATCAAATTATTATAATAAGCAGAAATTGAACAGATCAACATTAGGATTGTCAAAATGATCGAAAATCAGATTCTAAACGATACTAAAACTAGTATTGAAACTATATACTCATTTGAGCAGGTATCAGTACTAAAAGTCACATTCGCAGGAGAGAAAAGGATAACACCACTCACCACAAGGTAATATTAAAGAAAGTACTATGATGTAATGCTGAAAATCACATTCTATTGTCTAAAGAAAGAGTTAGTTTTTCATGATTATTGTATTTAGTATCGGGTAGGGATTTAACAATAACCAATATTTCGTGACATCATATCGTCAAAAGTCTCAGAATAATATCGTGGGCCATCACAATATATCAAATTACATGCCTCTTTGCTGTAGTTATGGTGATCTTATTGTGCTATACAAATAAGCTTGCCTTGCCGTGATGCAGCAATAGAGGGAACTACATAAACCATGATCCTTTGGTGCAGACTACATGAAGAAATATTATATTATTATTAGAGCTGGGTTTCATTAAGAAGTTGCCAATACGTACATACCTCGATACATAGGCCACAATACGATACACGTCTCGATACAGTGCACCTTCAGTTCAATAAGATATATTTCAAATCGATTCGATATGGTTCAATAAAAAATAATGGCTAAAGCCTGGCTGTGATAATAAAGTCTTTGTTAAACCATGCCTTGTGCAAAATTAATATGAAACACAAACATTTTAACCATCAAAACAGTGAAAATGTCAAATGTGTCGCATAAACGAGTTTTATTCCACTAAACAAACAATAAAACTATTGCGCTGTAACAAAATAATTTAGTAAAACATACCAAAAAAATACTCCTGGCGATATATCAAGATTTCGATATTTTTGCACACCCCTAATTATTATGCACTTTTACCTCTTAATTATTATAGTTTATAGTATATGTTATAGTATTTTCAATGTTTTTTCAAGGCTTTTAAAAGGAAAAAGTACTGTATTCAGAATTTCATATGCCTCCACAAAATATAGAACCATGAGATGCATATCCTGAAAATATCATATAATAAATTTTAGCATCAGGACAATACTAATTTATTGATTTATTTATAATAGAAATACGCTGTGTTAGTCTATGGAGAAAAAGCTGGTTTGACCTGATGACCCTAATTGCTTTATAAACCACAACTATTTATTTCAGTTAGATAATTTATTGATCTTCAAAAGGGGAAATGAAGTTGTTAGGGATGGGACGAGATACAATTTCCACAAGACAAGACAAGATTTTTTAGTTATTATTACTATTACAATTTTTTCCAAAAATTTCTGTTATCGTCACACTGATTTAGGGGCTATAGCGTCTCAAAAACTGGAACAAAACATGGGGGAAAAAATCTCACAAGGTTATTTTCACCACGTGTGCACAATCTTGTGGCAAATTTGTCTTGTGAGATCTTGCAGCGTGAGATCTTGTCCCGTCTTTATCAGTTGTCCATGCAGCAGATTTATACATTTCATCACACAATAAGATAATTAAAATATAGGCAATAAATTGTTAAAAGCTTGTGTAACATAATTCTCCTCCATATGTTTAGTTTAATTTACTTACTCTAATTTTTCTTCTTTTTTCATTTCAGAATTTTGGTTCAGTCCTGGTTCTGTTTGGCCTCAGATAAAGCTTCAAAATGTCAAGTAAAAACACCGGAGAGACCTTTAAGGTCGGGGATCTCGTCTTCGCCAAAATGAAGGGCTTTCCTCACTGGCCGGCCAGGGTAACTGACAAGAACTGTGAGGGATGGGACAAGATCTCGTGTCATGAGATTGTGCACACATGAGAAAATAATCTTGTGAGATTCCTTTTCCATGTTTTTACATTTGGATTTGAAAAAAAATTGGAGTTAAGTATTTGTTGAGTTAGAGTTTTTGAGAAGCTATAGGCCCAAAAAGCAGTGCTACAATGACAAAAATATTCAGTAAAGTAAATCCAAAATGGTGAGGCCAAAATTGGGAATTGGATCATACAATTTATGTTTTATAAATCATAATCTCATCTTGCCTCATGCTCGTAAAGCCAATCTCGTGTCTTGTCTCGTCCCACCCCTGATAACTATCTTTAATCTGCTTCTGTCCTCCCCAATTTTGTTGATTCTTCATATGTAATATTATTTACTTTTATTTAGGTTTGTAAATCAAACTCGGGATACAGAAAGAGAGTTCCTGTGTTTTATTTCGGGACACATCAGATGTAAGTGTGTTACATTTTGCCATAAAAACTAGATGTCACAAATAGGTATAGGACCAGATTGAAAGTTGGTGTCACGATTTTCATGGTTAAAATAATTGTAGTTAAAGGTTACTATAATGATTAAAGTTGCTGACAATTTCAAAATGTTAGGGATATGGGATATAATTTTTATTTTATGAAAAGCCTCCATATTCAAACCGTTATAGTATTATACTTTATTAAAAACAACAATGGTCTAGAATACGTTGTCATGAATAAGTCACTTTTTTCTGCACATTTTGATGATAAAATGGAGATCATCTTTGTTGGCGATTCTCCCGATTATATAAAATAAATAAAACGTAGTATCTTAGCACAAAAATTTCCTATGTGTACAAGTAATGTGAAAATAGCTGTACTGCACACCACTCTTTGCTGCCCCTTTGTGGTTCAGTGACTGTAGGAGTATATTTAAGAAGCTGCACATTGCATATAAAAATGTCCTTATTTGACAGATTTTCTATGTGGACTGTCTAGAATCTGAAATAAAGCTTGATTGATTGATTCGTAATTGTATTTAGATTACAAGGATTTCTTTGGGACAACAGCAGAAAAGATAAATTATTATTTATTTGTAAAAAGGCAGGTCTAGTACTTTTTCTGTGTCATCAATAGTTTTTGCATGAGCTCCCCCTGCAGTTGCTGCTTGGGTCAGATACACAGAGGTACGGCATAGTTATGAGAGCTTTTGCTTCACCCCCATTTTTAGTCGACCAATCGATCTGTAGGACATGTCTTTTGTCGGCTACAGGCCTAATGATGTACAATGTGGCTTAAATTGGTTGTGAAGTGTGGATTTAAAAAAAGATTGTTTTATCAACTATTCTGGCGAATATCCTTCTAAAAAATAGATTTGTTGGTATGAAAGATCTACTACAAAACACAACCTCAGGTATGTTTCTGACATAGAAATAACTTCATAATCTGGCAGAAAGTTGAAAACAAAAGCCAATGTAATACGGAAACAAATAATGGAATAAATTACTTAGTATAATATATTATATGGTAAACATTTATTATAATTTTTATTTATACGCTTGGGAGTGAGAAACAATTTCAGTTCTTTATATGATTTTAGTGAAAAATTAACAATAAACTTTTTTTAATTGAATTTGAAAGTCCAACTGTAAAATTACATGTTTTCTGTGTTGTTTTTTAACAGAGGAAGTGTCCCTCTTGAAAATGTCGTTCCATTTGTGGGAAATAAGACAAAATATGGCAGCGGAGTTCGGATCAAAGGCTTCGCGGAGGGAATGTGGGAAATCCAGAACACACCGGGAGTCTACAGCAGGCAACAGGTCACAGCCCGAAAATACAACTCAACACAACATGTAGTTTAATCTGAATCTGTTCTGTAAAATGGACTTTTCAGAGCTTTTAACCATGTTATAGTTGTTTCCTCTCATCATGTACTCATCTGAAGTTATATTTGGAGTGATTCGTGCATGTTTGAGTCATCTTTAATTGCTTACTGTAAAGACACCATTCTTCCCACCAACCCTCATTTTCACTTTCATCAGTAGACGCCCACTGTGACGTATGCACTTTCTTCTCCAATTTTATTTTCTTAATCTGTGATACACGTAGGATTCTGCAGCATTGCATAGTCATTTTGGTACAAAAAAAAATAAAATCTGCTGCTCACTAATGTGATGTGCAGCTATCCATACTAGGGGCCAACTCTTTGTTGTGAAGACGTTTACATCGGCGTCAGCTTCTGCTCAGCAGAGATGGGCAGTGTTAGGGAGTAACAGATTACATGTACCAGAGTTACGTAATCAGAGTACAAATTATGAGTAACTGTATTCGGTTACAGTTACTGTTTCAATGAGCGGTAATTGGATTATAGTTACTTTGTTGAAATAAATGGATTACCCTGCGGTATTTTCCTGTTTTCACATTTTGGGCTATATCCCTTTATTATTTTTTTCCTCTCTGTCATGCCACTCATTGCAGGACACTAAACCAGGTCTAAAACCAGGTCTAAAACCAGGACTAAACCAGGACTAAACCAGGACTAAACCAGGACTAAACCAGGACTAAAACAGGACTAAAACAGGACTAAAACAGGACTAAAACAGGACTAAAACAGGACTAAAACAGGACTAAACCATGCTGTGTGGACATGTCTCCTTCTCTTCTATCAATAATATTTTTAATACGGTTAGGTAAAGTCTGGGCTTTTTATTTTCTTTTAGCAGACAAAACTTCTTATGTGAAGATTTCCTCGTCTTTGCTTCTCTACAGCAAATCAAGTAATCTAAAGTACTCAGGTTGCATCACTCACTTTAAGTAACTTAATGGATTACATTACAAACTACATTTTGGGGTATGTAATCTGTAATCTGTAGGGGAATACATTTTAAAAGTCACCTTCCCAACACTGGAGATGGGTAATTGCAGATCTGAAATAATCCAAATGATTCTAGTCAAGGTGTATGCAGTTTAATAACACAGTGGAAGTGGACCAGAGTGTTTTCAGTTTGAGAGAAGAACTCATACAGAGGGTTTGTGTGAATGAAACAAAACACAACTCCAGGTCTGTTTGTGGTGAGGGAACAACATTAGAACATAGATTAGAAAATAGCGTAATATAGACGCTATTTGTAACTACTATAACAGACTGAAGATTGCATTTCTTCCTTACAGGTTAACCCTATTAGGTTTTTTTTACTAAATAAAAACACATTTCTTACGCTTTTTTCTTTATTTCACCTCTGCAGCCGCCAAAATCGAAAGCTTCAAAATCTTCACCTAAAACTACAAGTGTCAAACAAACACCAGTTAAAGCTAAAGATGCTAACATAAACAACAACAACAGGACCACCCCAAAGCCCAGAACCCAAACTCCCCGAGCAGCGGCGAGGAGCAGAAGAGGAGAGAAGGACACCGGCGATCAAACTTCCAGTGAGGAGCCAGAGAAGAAGAGGAAACGGGAAGCGGAAGAAGGAGGGCGAGGAAGTAAACGACGCAAACCGGATGCGGACGCTCAGAACCAGGAAGCAGGAGAGGAAACAAAACACGAAAAGCAAGATGACGAACAGGAGGCAGATGCAGATGAAAAAAAGACAACAAAGTCTCATGTGGAGATGCGGGTTAAAAGAAAGCGTGATGAGGAGGAAGGAGAGGATACAGAGGAGAGCAAAAGTAAAAAGAAGGAAAGAGAGAGTGCAGAGGGGAGTGAAGGGTTGGAGAAGGACAGAGGAGAAAAGACAAAAGAAGAGGAGGTGAAGACACAAAAAGAAGATGACGCAGAGGAGAAGGAGCAACAGGACGAAACTGTGGATGAAGAGGTATAAAAAAATTAAAATAAAATAAGATCTTTAATTATGGATATTTGGAATTACGATTATGGACATTTTTATCAACTGATTTGTTAAAAAGTGTATTATCTTCTATTGATACTTTGCACTGACATCACGCTGGGGGTGTTCTACATGTATCTCTATGGTAGAATGTTTAGGAGTTACCATGGTGACACTGCGCACGTAAGCAAACACAGGCAAAAAAGTTTAAAAGATTGTCTGAAAACTGAAGAAAAAAATACAAAATGGATTTAAACAGCACATTTTCAGGAACCTGTGATCAACCCGAGTCAGTCCGTTCTTGGTTCTGTTTAGGAGTTTGATTTTCAATACAAAGGTGAGAGACTTTTGTAAAAGCACACCTGTTGTAATTCCAACTAAATCAGCCATTTCTGGGTAAATTGGCTCTATTCACGCTTACCAGAACACGTTTGGAAACATGCGGATGACGACTTCCGGTGTAAAGGTTTCAAACTACCCCCGGTTTCAAACTACCTTGAAGCTGGTTTGAAATTACCCCCCGGTAATTTGAAAACGGTTTCAAGCTACCCCCCTAACCCCTAACCCCAACCCCTAGCCCTAACCCTTACCCCAACCCCTAACCCTAACCCTAACCCTAACCCCCGGTAATTTGAAACTGGTTTCAAATAACCGGGGGGTAATTTTGAAGGGGGTAGTTTGAAAACGCTACACCGGTGTCGTTCCTGACACTGGGCATGAGATATAAACCATGAATTCAAAAGCAGCGCTCTTCACAGTAACCAAAGCTTTTCATTGGAGATCAGACTCTAATCGCATCTTCTATGTCACTTACAGGCAGCTGGTTGGAACTGTTGGTCTGCCGAACAAAACGGAACGCCACATTTTTTTTGATTAAGTTAGACAAATTATAATACCGTATTTTGCACACTATAGGGCGCTCTGGATTATAAGGTGCATTGTCATTGAAAGGTCTATTATCAAATTTGTTTCACATATAAACCACACCAGACTATAAGGCGCATTAAACGAAACACAACAGTTAGATAAGTCAGTCAAACTTTATTTAACGTGTTCACAATAACTCTCAACTTTGTTCAACTGTAACGCATAAAAAAATACTGTCTGAGACGCTAAATTGATAGTGTATTCACAAAAACTCATAATTATTCAATTATAACTAAAAATAACACATTACACTCACTTTTTCAGTTCATTCCTCATCCACAAATCCCTCAAATTCTTCATCTTCAGTGTCCAAGTTAAACAGTTGGCCGATTACAGTTACTGTTCCCTGACAGTTCAGTGATGATTCTGGTCTTGGTGAAAGCTCGGACCACAGTTGATACTGATCCTTAGTCCAGGCGTCCACGATCCATTGGCAGATCGTGGTGTAAGTCGCTCGGTGCTGTCTCTCTGTCTTGGTGAATGTGTGTTCTCCTTCTCTCATCCACTGCTCCCACGCAGCTCACACTTTCACTTTATAACAGCCTTGAGTTTAAAGTGGGCGTTGTAAGTGTGTCTCTTGACAGGTGCATTTTGATATTAAAAGGAATCACAGTATGTATTACTCCTGATGCTCCTGACTACAGGAGCTGCAAGTGGTGCGGCTTTGTAGTTTACTAAAGTCGTACTAAGACACCCCAATAAATTCATATATAAGGCACTCTGGATTATAAGGTGCACAGTTGTTTTTGATTAAATTAAAGGCTTTTAAGTGCACCCTATAGTGCAGAAAATATGGTACACAAATTAATAATTTATTAAAATAATGATTAAAAAAACAAAGAATACAGTGACATCTAGATGAATCCATTTATTCAGAGTTGCTATCGCCAACAGAGCCCAAGAGAAGTCACCATCCACATGTTTTCAAATGTTTTCTGGTTTTGTCATGTTGTGTTAGTTTTAAAACAAAGGTGAGATTATAGTCTAACTTGAGTAACAAAGCTTCTAACAGAGCAGTGCTTTCAGTTAGCATCACACCCCCAGGGAGTGTTGATAACATCAGTTGCAAAGTGTCAACAGAATATAGATAGATATACAATTTCATCTTTTTTTTAACAAATGGTACAAAGTAGAGAGAAGGCTGAAAGAAAAGACAACTTGTGCCCATGAAAATAAAAAGTACATTTATTATGATTTTATTCTTAACATAGTGTCAGTTATTTTATGTTTAGTGATATTGATAGGGTCCAATTAAGAGAATTACACAAAAATATTGACATTTCAGCCATATACAGTTTCAATAATACAAACAGGGTTCCCGTGGCGTCTTAAAATGTCTTAAAAGAATTGAATTTATGAATTTAGAAATAATACCTTTAAAAACACTTGAATTTTTATATCTAGGTCTAAAAATTTGTGCAGTATGTAACTTCTCCATATCGCATTTCTCCTCAAGTGACTCTGAGCTGCTCTGTCAGATCGTAACCACCAAACATCAGCAATGCTACGGCAACAGCCAATAAAAGAGCATCAAGAGCAGAGGGGTGATTAACAGAGACGCAACATACAAATTCAGGAAATAGCGAAAATTCCTAATACCGTAGACAGGAAACGGCTGAAGCGGTCGTGCTCACAACTTTATAGCCTGTGTTCCGCTGACATATCCCGCTGTGGTCTTTGCGATTGGAGATTTTAAGTCTCATCAGAGTCTCCTCGTTTTTGTGGTGTTCGCTTTTTGTCGCACGTTTAAAAATCATTTATGACCAAAAAATCTGAAAAAAAAGATGAACTTTCTTAGATTTTTCTTTTTTTTTTTTTTTTATTTAACTTGAAGAACCCTGTAGGAACCCTGTACAAAATGGATAATTTTCAAATACTAAAATCTTTCAGTACCTTCACCAACAACATATAAAAGTTTGTCGCTGTTGATGGGAAAATACAGAAAGCCCAATCAATAATCCATCCTTGTTATTTTGTGTTTTGTGATTCAAAACAATTAGCAATACCCAGCTTTCCTCTGAAGTCCATTTCCTTGGCCGGTAATTGCGTGCGGCTGTAATGGCCCAGTCGATACAGACATGTGGTAGCCTAAAGCAGTAAAGTTCTATGAGGACAGTTTAATGGCTGATGTTTTATTTTGTCGTTAAATCGTTCAGAAACAGAAGCGGCTGGCGGCGAAAAGGGAAAACCTCCTGAAGTCGCTGCGAGGATTGATCTCGTACGGAAAAGGAGCCAAGAGGAGGGAGGGCTTACGGTGAGGAAGTGTTCAAATGATCGGCCAAAACATTACGACCACTGGTGAGAAGGTAGCACTGGAAGGTAAACTGCTGGAGATGTTTGAAAGGTGGAGAGCACAAGAGCTGAAATAAACTGAAGCTAGGGATAAACTGGTCTAGGTCTAAACCAAGGCTAAATAAGGACTGAACCAGGACTGAACCAGGACTGAACCAGGACCGAACCAGGACCGAACCAGGACCGAACCAGGACCGAACCAGGACCGAACCAGGACTAAAACAAACAACTAAAGCAGAACTATGTCAGTACAATTCCAAGAAACTAGACCCAGCCTAAACAAGGCCTTAAGCAGGGCAATACCAGGGCTAAAGTAGGACTAAACTAGGAATAAACCAGGACTAAACCAGGATTAAAACCAGGGCAATACTACGACTAAACCAGGACTAAACCAGGGCAATACTAGGACTAAACCAGGACTAAACCAGGACTAAACCAGGGTAATACTAGGACTAAACCAGGACTAAACTAGGACTAAACTAGGGCTAAACTAGGGCTAAACTAGGGCTAAACCAGGACTAAACCAGGACTAAACCAGGACTAAACTAGGGCTAAACTAGGGCTAAACCAGGACTAAACCAGGACTAAAGCAGCACTAAATCAGGATGTAAAATGCCTGAACTGATACTGAACCAGGACTGAACCAGGACTAAACCAGTGGTTGTAATGTTATGTCTGAACTATGTGTAATGTTCTCTTGCATTCTTAAGCTGGTACTTTTTTCTCATGTTCTCAGAAGTGTAACTGTAATACAATAAAATACTTTGTACTTTTTAGGAAAACCATAGATGCTGCTAAAAAGAAGAAATCTGAAGTGAAAAAGACAGACCAAACTAAAAGCAAAAAAGATTCAAAGGCCACAAAAAGTAAAGCGAAAGTTGAAACAAAGTCTGAAAAACCCCAGAAGAAAGATGCTAAAAAAGGAAAGAAGGAAACGACCAAGGAAGCAGTTAAGGAGGCAAAACAAGTGGACAAAAATGCTGAACAATCTGCAAGTGATGTTGAGCAAGGAAGCAAGGAGGTGGGCAAGGAAGCAACTAAGAAAGCGTTGGACTTATCTAAAGAATTACCAACCGAGAAAAATAAAGAATTGGAGGAACCAAAAAATGTTAGAGATGAGGATGCTACCAAGAAGGAAACTGCCAAGGAGACTAAAAAGGATTCAACCCAGGGCGCTACCAATTCTACTTCTAAGGATGCTACTAAAGATACAATCAAGGATATAACTAAGAAAGAGGAGAAAGAAGTTACCAAGGAAACTAAAAAGGATGCCGCCAAGGACATATCTAAGGATTCTGCTGACGAAGGAGAGAAAGAATCTACCAAGGAGACGAAAAAGGACACAACTCAAGATGCTATCCAGGATGCATCTAAGGACTCGTCTGAGGAGGGGAAAAAAGGGGAGAAGAGGATCATTGGCAAGATTGTGAAAGCTTCTGGTACTAAAGTCCACGTTAAGACTATGGGCGGAGCTGTCGAAGATACCAAAACCAAAAACTACTCAGAAATTGAGAGAAAGAAAAGCTTAGAAGAAGGTGAGAAGAAAAAACCTGACAAGGATGCAAAAGGAGGTAAGAGAGATGGCACCAAGGACGGAAAAGATGATAAGGATACTTCAAAAAACAAGGAGTCAAACAAGGGAACGAGCCAAAAGGAGAGGAGCGATTCAACTAAAGGTGAAAAAACTGCAAAAATGGCCGACAAGGGAAGCAAGGAAGCAACTAAAGATGAGAAGGAGACGAGGCAAGGTCGCAAGACAAGGAGAGATATTGAAAAAGAGGGAGGGTCAAAAGATAGAACTAAAGATGTAGGTAAAGTGTCTAGGGAAGGAAGCAAGGAGGCAAAGGAAGTCAGTAAAAAGGAGGAATTGGACAAGGATAGTAGCAGAGAAAGGAGAGGCGATGACAAAAAGGGTGATAATGTGATGAAAGACAAGAAGAAGGAAGGAGAGAGGAGGAGTGAGAGAGGAAGGGATCTAGGAAAGAAGGAGGCAGGGGTTAGGAAGAGTGCTGCAAAGATAGAAACCGACTCAGCCCCAAAAGGCGAATCTAGTAGAAAAGTTAGTCGGAGAGATAAAGCTGAAGATGACGACGTTAAAAACAAGTCAAAAGAGCGGCAGAAAAAGGAAGAAAAGAAAGAAGGGGCGAAGGAAGGAGGAAGTAAAGAGGAGACCGAGGTTAACGTGGTGGAGATGGAAAGCATAGAGTCGCTGCAGGAGAGGATGATGAGGGCACTAAGGGAGGAGGAGACGAGGACGGAGGGAGCGAGGAGGGAGGAGACGAGGGCAGAGGAAGCAGTGAGGAGCCCGGGAGGAGGAGGAGCGGAGGGGAAGACGCTCACAGACTCAACCCTCCACAGACTTCACGGGGACATCAGGATCTCGCTCAAGACAGATAATCCGGTGAGGACCATTTCATTTCTAAAGTGCGTGTGGTTTTCGAATTTTAACTGAATTTGGTGGGATTATAACTGTTGTAAAGATAAATTATAGTTTTACGCTAATCAAGAAGAAATTCGCGAAGAAAAGTTGAAAAACATGTTGAAAATTACCGGAAGTAGAGCATTCTAAACACAAGCAACACATTTTGTCTGATGCTTTAAACATGTTTTCAACAAAGTAAATGTGATTGTTTATATTTGTATTTATCAGATAATAATTTCTGTGTACATTAGAGGAGTTTTGTTGGTAACAGTTACAGAATTCCCTACAAGGAAATCAAATTTTAAACCTAAAAAAATTGCCAAATTGGGAAAATGAGTGTGAATGTTTTTGCAAAAGTCTTAATTGTGTTTTGAGTAAAACGAGTAGTCTAACCTGACACAGGCGCTTTAAGAATGATCCTTTAAAGCTGTTAAGTGGTGATGTCACTTCCGCGTACAGTCAGAAACTTCACAGCTGATTTCTAACTTAGTTTTGTTTTGTTCCATATTTATCAAACAAGAGACAGTTACTAATCCAACAACACTCATTTTGTCTTCTTTTGGACATTACCATCTGGGCTTGTTTTTATGGACAATAGGCTCTATTCACGCTTACCGGAAGATTTGGAAACATATGCATGACGACTTCTGTTGTAGTTACCGACACTGAGCATTAGGGATGTAACAATAACAGAAATGTCGTGATATCGTATCGTCAAAAGTCTCACAATATTACTGTGGGCTGTCACAATACATCGAATCACAAGTTCCTTTGCTTAAATGCATGGTTTTACAGTAGTAACAGCTTATAAACATAGGGAACTACATTTCCCATGATTCATTTCAGTGCAGACAACATGAACAGATATGGTTTTTACTTGAGTTATTGGGATTAAGACGCCAATAATTCACACCAAAATCTTGTCAAGGTACTTTAAAAGCAAAAAAAGTGTTCCAATTCTACAATTATATTAGGCTCTTCAAAATATCACAATAAATATCTGGTATCAGATGGTTGTAACTGTTGATCTGCCGAACAAAATGAAACACTACAATGACCTGTTTTTTTGTTATTATTAAATTAAACTAAATAATAGGCAATGTATTAAATGAAAAAGATTTTGTCAGAATTACTATCGCCAGCAGAGCCCAAAGGAAGTTATCATCCGCATGTTTCATAACGTCTTCTGGTTTTGTGATGTAAGCTTGAATAGAGCCCATAAAGTAAGAGATGTATTTACTTTGTTGACATGTTTGAGCTGCTAGGTCACATGTCAACAAGGTAAATAAATACATCTCCTACTGTACTGTCTTTAAAAATAACCCAAGAAGTTAAAGAGACTGTTACATTTCCAAAGCATATGTTAAAACAGATATGTAAATAATGTAAGTCGTAATAATCTGTCATAAAGGATTACCAGAGTAAATCTCACTAAGAGCTGCTCAGCGCTAAAGCTAATTTAGCCTAGCCTAGCTTAACGTGACCAGACGTCCCTATTTACCCGAGACAGTCCCAGTTTGAAATGTCTATGGTGTCCCTATTTTTGACCAATTTTATACCTTGGCAACAGTAAAGAGAGGCATATATTGTCATTTGTTTAGGTAAAATACAGAAAAGCTGCTTAAAAATGACCAAAACAAAGAAAATGTGACTATACTGACTCACAGGTTAGTCATGAATGGTCCGAGCACAGAACAGTTTTCCTTAATTACACACTCATTTCACAATTTTATCATTACCAATCACCCCAAACAGTTTTTTTTAATTATTATTATTATTATTGGATCATTTGCAGCACTACAAAACAAAAACAAAATATACCACAACTACATGGGTCATGACAGGAAGGGTCTGAGCTGAAACAAAAGTACCAAATGCATGAACAATAAGTTTGCATTTACATTTATCGCTGTATATATAAGAGACAAAATATAAATTAAAACAAACAAAACTCAATGCACATTTCATTAACTCCAGAGCTCCATATTTTCCAAAACACAACACCCCATATTCTTTTTAAAAGGTTTCTACGGCGTTGGACTATTTAAAATCATCACTCCGATTGTTCCACAAACCAAAACCTCTACCAGAAACACATCACTTTCTTCCTAGTTCTTATCTTCATTTTTTCTTTTTTTCTTTTTCATTTATGGTCATACAAACTAATAATAATGTTTACAAAGGCACAAAAGTTTATCATTTATGATTGTGCAAAATGAACCATAATGAGAATGAAAAAAATTTAAGGATTTTTTTGTTTTTCGTTTATGGTCGTCCAAACTAATGTTAACAAAGGGACAAAAGTTGATCTTTTATGATTGTGTGAAATAAACCACAGTGAGAAGTTTTTTTAAAAGTAAGGACATTTTGTTTTCATTTATGGCCGTGCAAACTAATGCTTACATTAATGAAGGCACAAAGGTTTATCGTACAAAATAAAAGGTATTGTTAAAGAAAATTTTAAAGAAAAGCATGTGTTTAGTAGTTAATAGTCTTAGTAGTGTTTTTTATACCCCACTCTCACTAATCCCACCCTCAAAACAAATTTAATTTAGACCTGAAATAATCACATACTGTATATAGACCTGGGTTCGATCTGGTGGGACTTGGTTTGAAAGTTACAGAACTATTGGCCTAGATCATAAACATTTAGTAGCTTTATATCACTTTGAGCCACAGCCAGATCTACCCTTGTTAAATAAAGTTTTGACAATGGCCAGCAGAGGGTCACCGACACTTCTAGTTTTCTTCCCATCCCTTCCCATTCTTCCCATAATAAAGATTTCAAAATCAGTCACAATATGGGCCCTAAAACATTTTACTATTCACACGTTTAATCTGTCTTCTCTTTAGTTGTCTACAGCCCTTGTATCTGTGGTTATTTAATATTTCATGTGTTTGTTTCTTTTCTCTTTCAGGATGTGAGCGCGTGTCTGTTGGCGTTGGATCAGCTCAGTATGGTGTATGTGACATCTCAGCACGTTCAGAGACACAGCGAGCTCGTCACCACACTCAGACAGGTACAAACACTTTGAATAACTTTCTTTGAAAGTACAAAAAGGCAAGAATAGTTCCTCATGTGTGTCTGTTTACATCCACACAGCGCATGGATCGAGGTGAAGCTGCAGATTAGCGATACTGAGTCTACTTCCTGTGAACTTTATCGCAAATCTTTTAAGCTTTAAAAATAATGTATCTGAAGTATTGCACCTCATGTCACAAATAACAACACAGTTTTGACTTGTATCTAAACTAGAAGTGCTCTGATCTTTTGAACACCTAAGAGTCTCAGACATATCCCACTGCAGATTTTGCAATCGGAAATATTAAGTCTCATCAGAGACCAAAATGTCCTTTATTGTGGTCTGCTGTACTTTGTTTTTTCACACCACTGTGTGACTTGTTGTCTGTGTGTCTGTGTTGTGGTGTTGTAGTGTGAACACTCACTACTCTGCTACACTAAAGGTTACGTGATTTTTCCGTCATCCATTCAAGAATGTTGTTTTTCTTTGCCGGTAGGTCTGTGAAATAGGCCGTGAAATAGGTATTAAGTATTTATATAAATGCCCTTAATTCGAGTCTTTTATAGATCTTTTTAACTTGAAGAAACCTGTAGGAAACTTGATTTAAACAACACATTTTCAAGAGTCTGTGAGCGAACAAGCATTCATGATCCTGTTTAGACGTATGATTTTCAACAAAAAGGTCAGAGTGACTAACTGACAAACTGTTGGCTAATGCTAGCTAAGCCAAAGATGTTCATTTTTGTCTTCTTATGTACTTTAACTTCTTGGGTTCTTTTTAAAGACAATACAGTAAAGTGTATTTACCTTGTTGACATGTTTCGGCTGCTAGCTGCAAGCATCTTCAGAACTGTCCACTGTTGCAGCAGCAGCCGAAACATGTCAACAAGGTAATTACACTTTACTGTATTATAAAAAGAACCCAAGACATTAATGCTAGTTAACTTGTGACTTCAGTTTTATGTGTGAGATTTGTTTAACAGCTCATCTATTGTAGTTCCTGCTAAACAAGTTCTTTCTGGTCAGACTGTGATAAAACAAAGCTCAGATGAAAATCCAATTTGAGCAACAGAGCTTCAGACAGAGCAGTGCCTAAAGTTGGCATCACACCCCCAGGGACTGTTGATGACATCAGCTGCACAGTATCAATAGTCTGATTTGAGTAGTCTCTAATAGAATATGGCATTATTTATTACCTGGTCCCCAAAGGGTTGACCAGGTTTTGTATTCACTCTGTGTGTGTGTGTGTGTGTGTCTGTATTTCTGTCCACTTGCGATAATTCTACCATTTATGGACCGATTGTCACCAAATTTAGTACGTGGGTCAAGCTGCCATGCCCAATGCTGCAAAAAAAGTTTGGTGACGATCTGAGGTCATTTGAGGTCACATGGGTCATGCCATTATAAAGGATAGGCAGTTTCAGCAATATCTGGAACCATCTACAGCCTAAAATATTCACCCAATCATCACACAAGTTGACACACACATAACCGGGGTACACTGGATGTTACAGTTTGAAACCAGTCAAGGTCACTTGAAGGTCAAGGTAACCAAGGTCAAATATGCGTTTTTGGTCATAACTCCACGAAGGATGGAGCTAGAGCAACGGGAGTGTCTCAAAATCTCAGAATAAAGTCTTTCTTCTCAATATTCAGTTTTGATGATATCAATTGCAAATGGCAATTATAACAGTTCCTTTCTTTTTCGGTGTATGCTGATAAAATTCTAATTGGAACAAAAATTATTTCCATTTCTTGTTTTTCTGGTGATACACAACACACTGATCTACAGTCACACTAACATATCCACAACTCATGAAAAATGACATTTTGGTTACACACTACATTCTCATGTGTGACCAATATCACACAAATGTTCATGGGCCTGTACAGATACACACATTGCATTGTGTATATAATGATCATGTAATATGGGCTGGGCTCCTCATGAGCTGCTTCTGTGGTTGTTTTTTGTTGAAAGAAATCCACACAAAACTGAGAAACTGGGGAAATGGATATTTTTAAGTACTTTTTTGCCTGACTCTTGGCTACTCTTGCTGCCTGTGTATCTGGGTGGGTTTCCTTACAATCCTAACATCTTAATTTCCTTCCCTGGGTATGTGATGATAACTGTAGGCATGCTTTGTCTGAGGATTTATTAGACTTTAATTTAATCTTTATTTCAACACAATCTGACCATAAATTACTGATTTAGCTGGAACTGCAACAGGGGAGATGATTTGTGTCGACTTCTAAAATAATCACTAGTTGCTTATTTAAATCTCAACTATTTTAATCTTTCATTTGTGTTTCTAGCTGCGTTTCTACCGAGCCAGCGAGGCCATCATGCACAAGGCCTCCATGTTGTACAACCGCTTCAAGAACGCGTTCCTGTTGGGTGAGGGACAGGAAGTGGTGAGCACGGGCTTTCTGCGGTCGCTGCTGGAGGAGAAGGAGCGGGAAGAGGGCCAAAGATGGAGGGACAAACTGAAGACTCAAGACCTGCTCCAAGAAGTCAAGAGACGAATGGAACACGTGCACGAACGCAAAGAGGCCCATGAGACAGGTACAGGACCGAGGCCTAGTCCTGGTTTAATCCTAGTGTAGTCCTGGTTTAGCCTCCGTTTAATCCTGGTTTAGTTCTGGTTTAGTCCTGGTTTAGTCCTGGTTTAGTCCCAGTTTAGCCCCAGTTTAGTTCTAGTTTAGTTCTGGTTTAGTCTTGGTATAGTCCTGGTTTAGTCCTAGTCTAGTCCTGGTTTAGCCCCAGTTTAGTTGTAGTTTAGTTATGATTTAGTCCCAGTTAGGTTTAGTTAAATACCGGTTTAGTTCTAGTTTAGCCCAGGTTTAATCCTGGTTTAGTTCTAGTTTAGTCCAGGTTTAGTCCTGGTTTAGTTCTTGTTTAGTCCAGGTTTAGTCCTAGTTTAGTCCAGGTTTAGTTCTGGTTTAGTTCTGGTTTAGTTCTGGTTTAGTTCTAGTTTAGTCCAGGTTTAGTTCTGGATTAGTCCTGGTTTAGTTCTAGTTTAGTTCAGGTTTAGTTCTGGTTTAGTTCTAGTTTAGTCCAGGTTTAGTTCTTGTTTAGTTGTGGTTTAGTTCTAGTTTAGTCCATTGTTAGTCCTGGTTTAGTCCTGGTTTAATCCTAGTTTAGTCCTGGTTTAGTCCTAGTTTAGTCCTGGTTTAGTCCTAGTTTTGTCCTAGTATCTAGACTGGATTTAGACCTGTTTACAACTGAACTGGTGTTATAACTGGATCTAGACCTGGTTTAGATGTGTTTTTGCTAGGAAATCTTGCTGCTTTGTTGCTTTGCTCGAAATGTTCCTCAGTATGGCATTAAATTGGCCTATGTAGCATTTATCTCACATTCATCTCACAAGTGTTCTTTATTGGGTTCTAAAAGACCATTCTCCCCACTTGTCTCCATAAACAATAGAAAGCAGTATGTTTAATGAATGCCATACTGTGGAACATTCCTGGCACAGCAATCACCATGGAGATGAAAAATGTGCACACCCTCCACCAGAAAAGTTGCATAGGTTAAACTTTTTTATTACTGGTACTTTGCAGCTGATGCCATCAATATTCCCTGTTTTTTTGGGTTGTTTTTTTTTGCTAACTGTAGGCACTGCTCTGCCTCAAGGTTTGTTGCTTCAATGATATTTTATTTAATCTGAACTTTTTGCTAATGTGTACATTGCGTCACCATGGTAATTGCTGAGCGTTCCACCATAGACATACATGTAAAACACTAGGGCTGGGTAAATTGCCGTTACAATACCTACCTCAATACACAGGCTACAATACAATACACATCTCGATACAGTGCGCTTTTGATTCCATACGATATATTTCATATCGATTTGATGCGGTTCAATAAAAATAATGTCTAAATTTTGGCCTTGATGATTAAAGTCTTTGTTAAACCACTTCTTGTGCCAACAAAGTTAATATGAAACACGCCCAGTTGAATCATCAGAACATTGAAAAGATCAAATGTGTTGCATAAATCAGTTTTCTTCCACTAAACAAGCCACAAAACTGTAGCTGTAACAAAATAATTAAGTAAAATATACCAAAAAAATACTCTTGGTGATATATCGATACAGCAGCCCATGATATCACTATTGTATCATCACATTAAACGATACTATATATGGATATTTTGATATTTTTGCACACCCCTATAATATAGCAAAGTATCAATTACTAAATAATTTCTTAAACTGGAACATCTTTTTATTAACTCACCTTTCTGTCCTTTTCAGCTCCAGCGGAAAGTCAGGAGCTGCACAGCGCCCCCTGTTGACTTTATGGATTTGTCAGACTCTTCCGTTATTGCACTCTTTTGGATATTTCTGTTAGTTTTTCTGGATTTTTAACATTTCAAAACACTATTTATTCATAGTTTACATCTTACAGTGGCCTTAGAGCATTCTCAGTAACATATCTTCTTATCATAACAAAATATTTATCCATCCATTTTGTCAAGTCTCAGTCTAATTCACTACAAGATGCTGTGATATTTCTCTTCTTTTTAAGTGACATATGCTTACAGATTTTTGTCTTTCATTGTGATATTGTTTTTATTAATTCAGTGTTAAACCACAGCCTGCTTCAAACCTGTTCTGGATTTACAAACGCGTTTTGATCCTAGACTGTATATAAATGACAGCTAACCAACTAGGAAGTGAGCATGGGGGCGCTTCCAGCTCCATTTGGATATAATTCACTATCTATTGAAAAACCGTCACCCCTCTCTTTGTAACTGCTACAGTGAGCCCCATCATTTTGGTTTTAAATGTTCATATTAACCTGCTCTATATGATTCTGGTATTTTTATTTCGGTCTTTTGTGCAGAAATCAAGAACTCCAAATTCACCCCAGCCTCGATGAGCTACATTTGACTGGAGCCGAACATTATGGGTCACACTCCCTTAGTCCACTTATTTATACAGTCTATACAGTTTTGATCAGCGCTAACTCAACTGGTGCTATATATACTACAAATTCAGAATTAAAGATTACCTAAACCAAAGCTAAGGCTAAACCAACCAGTATTTGCTTCAAAATGTGTTGAAAATCTGACTTGAACATGCTATTTGAAGTAATGGCTCATAGGAATTTGAGATATTGTCTTTATCAGAAGCATATCTGTATACACATCCTTTGACATCTGTTTTTACTGCTGATATTGTATTATATATTTAACTGTTACCGTGTGATGTTTTTTCTAGGATGTAGCAGTGTGTATTTCTACATTTTAATATAAAACGTGAACTCTATAAAATTCTTGGTTTCAGTTGAGTCTTTTACTTTTAAAATCTGTTTACAGTTGATTGTCCAGTTCTGCGCGTTGCTTTCTCCAGGGCAGTAGTTACCAAGGCCCATTACGTCCTGGTTTATCCCGGTTTAGTTCTGTTTTAGTACTAGTTTTATCCCTGGTTTTAGACCTGGATTATATCTGGTTAAATCTATTGTTGTTTCACAGGTCCCAAAATAACAATAACAACAAACAAATGCTTAAGTCATTATTTAAACTATGTATTAGGTTTGGCCAGAGGTGTCAGACTCAGTTTGGTCCGGGGGCCGTATCCAGCCTACTTTGATCCCAAAGGGGCCGGATCAGAAAACTCATGGCATATAAACCCCAAAATAACATTAAGTTCAAATATTTGTGCAGAGAAACGCAAATCTATTACAGAAATCTTTTTTTAATTGATGAACTCTTTCTTTTACAAATTATTATAATATTATGAACAACCTGAAACTTTAAGAAAAGTGCAAATTCAACACAATGTTTTAACATGAACTTGTATGCAAATAGGAATAAGTCAATTTTTCTTGGAAAATCCTGCGCTCAGCGTCCAATTTTCTCATTTTTGACATTTTGTTGATGAGGGTGTCACGGTCAACAGTCAAAACGATCGTCCTTTAAGAGCATTTGGAAAGAGACAAGTCTTCATTTGTGCTGCTCTGGTGGGAGGGGCCACGTACAGAGATGCTGGATACACTGCTATGCTGAGAGGCGCAGAAAATTACCAATATTTTAATATAAAATAATTTAGTAGAAAATCAGCCGAGGGCCAGATTAAAGTTCTTGGAGGGAAGGATCTGGCCCCTGGGCCATATGTTTGACACTCCTGAGTTAGGCAAAGATTGTATATTTGGATCATTTTTCCCCCCTTCAAATTACAAAAAAAATAAAAATAAAATCAAGGATCACAGTATTTTTTTCACTAATATTTATTCATTCATTTATTTACTTGATACGGTTGGATTTTTAGAAGTGTTAGTACTGCACAGTCAGTGAGTAGCCTGAGTTATTAACCTATGATTATCAGATAATATACTGAATAAAAATACATTCATAATTTTTAGTTTTTAGCGAAAGATTTTTGGGGATTTCCCGTGTACTTTTAATACCCAAACAGCTTATTATCCCCCGTGTTGATAATTATTAGAGCCAGAGTCTAAATTGAGCATCTGTAGCTCGTTCTGGTGGGCGGGACCCGGAAGCCTCCATCACAGCGGGGGAGGTGTGTTCTGCAGCCGCCTCTCGCAGCTCCACAGTCGGCTCGGATCACGGAAGACGCCGCTATCCCGGTTCTCCTCGGTGCGGCTTTTTCAACTTACGCAAACGGGCTTTTTTTTCGTATCCTGCGTAACGTGACGAGGACGGGGGAGGAAACATGCCACTGTCGTGACTGGAAATCGCAATAAATTTATTTTTTTAAAGGAAAAGGGCGAGAGGAGACGGAGGAATATGGCCCACGTAAGCAACGGTTCCCCGGCCGAGGAGGAGGTGCGTAAAGCGGCATCGGTGTCTGGTAACCTGGGTTGAACTGCGGAGGACTAGACTTAGGTTAAAATCAGACTAAACTGGACCATCCTATAGAAATATGCAATACTTTATGATAAATTATATAGATTAAACTGAAAAAAACTGGAAGGACAAATGCAATCTGGAGCTTACAAGGGCATTTGGACCGGTCTAGACTGAACCAGGACTGAACCAGGTGCGAGCCACGTCTAAACCAAGTCTAAACCAGGTCTAAACTAGGTCTAAACCAGGTCTTATGAATGTCTGTATTACCCAAGTCCAGAATTTTAATGTTACCTGTAAAAGACATTACATAATCAGAAGTAAATCAATGTGGACATTAGAAAATTATTATCAGAAACTTAATAAAATAAGTGTTGTTTAAGATTAAATCTACTAGACTAAAATTAGGGTTAAATTGTGTTCAAATCCAGACAAGCCAGACTCTAAATAAAATAAAATGGAAAAAGTAGCCTAACTAAAAAGGTTGTATAGAAGTGTAGAAAATCAGATAATAATTGCTGCTCATTTTTTTCAGGTATCAATACTAAAAACGTCCCATTCACATTTTACGGGACAGAAATGAACCTTTCCCGGATAGTTTTAGAATGATCTTGAGCTGGATCAGAACAAGTATAAGAGCACATAGACTAGTATACGTCCATGGACCACTATGGAACCTACCTGGACTACAGATTATTATATATAGCAACATGGGAATAGAAAAGAAAGTAAAAGAAAGTGTGTTTTTTATTATCAGTGTGGTATTGAGACAGAGACATAATGTGAACAAGAATACGGTAGCTTAACCTTAACTGGAATTTTCTGTTACTTAGGATGGAGTGCAAAGGTTAAAATTCTTGGTCTATACTGGGTAAAATTAGATTATAGAAAAGACCAGCCCGAAAAAGAACATTGTGTAACACAGATTAAAGGGCCCATATTATGCTATTTTCTGATCTATGTTCTAATGTTGTTTCCTCATCACAAACAGACCTGGAGTTTTATTTTGTTTCATTCACACATGCGTAACACATTGCATTTTTAGGCTGAGTCTGTTCCACTTCGTGATGTCAGGAAGTGCTTAAACTCCATACACTTTCACTAGAATCATTTGGATCATTTCAGCTCTAGAATTGCCTATCTCTTCTGAAATAACGGTAAAAAGTAGCTGTTAATGTCACATGGTAGAACTGAGTATTTTGAGCGTTTGGAGATGTAGACAGACTAGTAACGCAGGATCACTCAAACACGTGTGAACAAAACAAAATACAACTCCAGGTATTTTTATGAGGAGGGAGCAGCATTAGAACACGGCTTAAAGCTCACAAGAGTCCATTTTGCCTAACTTAGTAGCTTTAAGAATAGGCAAATACATAGGACAGATTTCCCTGTGCAGCAAAACCATAAATTAATCTAATTTCCAAATCATAAAAAATACAGACCACATGTTTTTACTGATGGATGACTGGCTGTCGATCTCTCCATTAAAAGCTCCAGACTTTATAATTGACTACCGTATTTTCTACACTATAGGGTGCTCTGTATTGTAAGGCGCATTGTCACTGAATGGTCTATTTTTGAACTTTTTTCACATATAAACTGCACCGGACTATAAGGCACATTAAACGAAACACAACAGTTAGATAAGTCAGTCAAACTTTATTTGACGCGTTCACAATAACTCTCAACTTTGTTCAATTGTAACACATAAAAAAAATACTGTCTGAGACACTAAATTGTTAGTGTATTCACAATAACTCATAATAGTTCAAACAGTTGGGTGATTACGCCATCCATCACGCCCACATCCCTCTCGTCATTATCCGAGTCAGTGTGGTTACTGTTCCCTGGCAGTTCAGTGATGATTCTGGTCTTGGTGAAAGCTCGGACCACAGTTGATACTGATCCTTAGCCCAGGCGTCCACGATCCACTGGCAGATAAGTGGCTCGGCGCTGTCTCTCTGTCTTGGTGAATGTGTGTTCTCCTTCTCTCATCCACTCCTCCCACACAGCTCACACTTTTACTTTATAATAGTCTTGAGTTTAAAGTGGATGTTGTGAGCGTGTCTCTTGACAGGTGCATTTTGATATTAAAAGGAATCACAGTATGTATTACCCCTGATGCTCCTGACTACGGGAGCCATAATGCTGCAAGTGGAGCGGCTTTGTAGTTTACTAAAGTCGTACTAAGACACCCCAACAAATTCATATATAACGCGCTCTGGGTTATAAGGCCCGCAGTTGTTTTTTGATTAAATTGAAGGCTTTGAAGTGCACCATATAGTGCGGAAAATATGGTATTTAGAATCACTGTATCTCTGTGTGTTTATATTATAATGAATAGCTCGGGCCTATTACTACATAATGACTTCACGTATGGATCATTTCTCTTTCTAAATGACTTCTCTGAGCCTGTAATGATCCACTGTTTCTCACAGGTTTCTGCTTAGTTTGTCTTTTAACACAATGGGGCAGAAAATCAGATCACGGAGCCCACACAGACTCCTGTTTTAATTGGAGTCACGGGACCAGAAGTACTCCATTGTGTTACCTAAAGGTGCATTGTGTAACTTTTTGGTTGGGTGTCCATCACCTGATTGTTTCTGTGGATGTTATGTCATTGCTTTGCCTAGAATGTTCCGCAGTTTGGCATTAAACAGCTCTACTTTACGTTTATTTAATTACAGGTGGTTTTAAAGCTCAAAAATACATAGAACAAGTAGAAGAAATACATTCTGACTGTGAGCAGGGTCGCCTCTCCCCAGATCTGACCCGCAACTTGGTCTGGTTTGGTCTGCGTGAAGATGGAAAGGTTTAATGCCATATTGCGAAACATTCCAGACAAAGCAGTAACATCAACAAGCATTTGATGGACCCTTCACCAGAAAAGTTTACGTAAAAGTACAGATAATCAAGTCAAAGTAAAAGTATCACATGAAAAAATCTACTTAAGTAAAAGTATTTAAGTATGTTTAAAATGTACTGTAGTTTTTATTTGTTTAGTTTTGTTTGCCCAGACTACAAATGTGTTAAATAAAAATAAACCCTCAGCCTTTTCAGCAGGTCTCAAACTATAATAAAAAATGCTTTTACTTTTCAGTCCAGTTGTATGTAGTGGAGTAGAAAGTACAGATATTAGGGATGGGACAAGACAGTTTCAGCTCACAAGAACGAGACAAGATGAGATTTTGATCTTATTCCACAATTGTGACTTCACAGTTTTTGGTTTATTTCATTTTCTAGTTGTTATTGTAGCACTGCGTTTTGGAATGACAGCTTCTCAAAGTCAACCTCTTTTTTTTATCCAAGGCAAATGTAAAAATGTGAGGGGAAAAAATCTCACGAGATCATTTTCCACACGTGTGCACGATCTTGTTGTACGAGATCTTGTCCCACCCCTAACAGATACCTGCTCTCAAATGTAGTGAAGTAAAAGTAAAAGCATCAATCATAAAACCTACTCAAGTAAAGTACAGATACCTCAGATTCATTCTTAAACACAATACTTTACTATTTTTACTTTGTAATGTTCCACCACTGCACAGGACGGTCGTATAATAAAGGTCTGGACTTGCTCTGCTGACCTTGATCAAGTTTGACTCAACATGGAGATTCAGTCGTTTGTAATCTGGTGTTTTTGATGGAGAGTTCTTACACCCAGTCCTCTGTTAGGGAGTGTGTGGTCTGGAGCAGAAATCAGACCTTGGAGAAAGAAGTTTGATTCGTTTAAAAATGTGAAACGGCATTTATTAAACGTTTGATTCAGTTCGGGGAATTTGAAAGCATCATATTTGTTTTTATAGAGTCTTATAGACAATAACATGGAATCAGAAGGTGGAAAAAAAAGTCTTTGATTCATATCTTCAGCCAGCCATAGCTCTTGTCAGAATGCGTCACTCTGAATTGAGTCCTTCACATTATCGATCTGAATGGCTCTCACTGAAAGAGATCAGGAAAAGGTGGAGCATCATGACGAGTATTTGAATCTGATTGGTCGAAGCGTCACAACAGCGGAACACACCAAAAGAGAGAAAAGTAGCTTCCCTGTATCTTCCCTGCCCATAAATGCACAAATCATGTTTTTCACGTTTTATACACATTTTCCCGCACGTTTTCTGCATGTTTTTCTACATGTTTTTCACACGTTTTTCACACTTTTTTCACAAACTAAATAGTTCATAAATAGTCCATAGGCTCAAACTTCAGTGCTGCTCTATGACTGGTCCAATCTCTGTCCCATCTGCAGCCAGGACGTATCACGTCATCAAGAGTCAAGATGGATTCTCGTGAGTTTGTGAACTCACAGATATGGTGAAAATCCATTTTGCTGTGTACGGCTCCAGCCTCATACCAAACCCGTTGTGTTGTATTGTATATCAGTGTTGCTGTGTTGAACATGGGTTAAGTGAATGCATTTATGAATGTGAGTCTAATCTGATTAGGCCCAGAGTCAGCAGACACGATAACAGGATAACAACAGGGGAACAATGAGGGACTATGGACCAGGACTGACCAGTACTGGACCAGGAATAGACCAGGATGGGACCAGGACTAAAGCAAGACTATACCGCTGTGGTATGGGATTTTGACCCCGGGGAATCATTAGAATCAGCACTTTTCACTATTCTCATGTTATTTCTTTGTATTTCTTCTTATTATGTTTGAACATTCCACAGTCTATAATTATTTTTGATTATATGCTATTAGGTTCTTTTTACAGACCAAGAGTTTGTTTTTCATACCTGACAGTTTCGACTGCTCACTAGCACTCTTCCTCAGAGTGGTCACGTGACCAAACACCAGCGCTTGATTAAAGAAGCAATCGAAATACGGAAACATGTCCATGGGACTATAAACCGGGACAAGGGACTTTTTTACTCTCACACACCTGGGATACTGTCCTGAGGAAGTGGGACTGCAGATGGCGCTGTCGTCCTGCCTCCACCGGTAGGAAGACAGCACCAAAACCTGTTTAAATC